TATAGCTTTTAAGTATGTATGTATGGTTTTATAGAGTGTGTAGTTCCCAATATTTTACACAACTGTAGATTTTCATCATCATTGCAATGATTTTCATATAAAATTTCAAAGAACAATTATTATAGAAGTGGGTATATTCACTGGCTCGGCGATCAAAAGAACAAGTAAAACCCAACAAAACTGGCTTGATATATATCTTATATACTGTAGTATAAAGACTAAAGTGTACTGTAGGAATTAGTTCTTCATATCATTGTATATCATTTCGTATGATATACGTATTTACAATTAGCCTTCTGTCATGTATTTGTAATAATAATAAACTTATCATCATTATTATTTCAGCCTACGTCCTGTTTCCTATTTACAAAAATGTAATAAGGTAGTGAGATGAGCGCAGCAAAGTCCTTTGTAACTAAAGCTGTCAAAAAGACTCGAAGTTTACTTGCAGTCTGCAGAGGATGTCATTGATTAAAGTTACATGCTGTGGCCTAATTGCAAACATGGTAAGAGTGTGTGCTGAGTGAATCATTGGTACTGTGGTATGTAACTATATATATCCTAGTATCTCCTATACATGGCACTACAAGATTAGTCTATGGTAATGATCTTTGAGTGGCAGACGGGTAGACTTGGCCTTACAACGGCAAAAACATTCAAATTCCCCAGTTATAACGTTGATGTTACTCTATAAACAGCATATAAAAGTCAGTAATATAAGCAAACTATCCTTCTACCTTTCCTTTCCTAATAAAGGTATAACGTTAAATCGTAGGCAAGACCATCCTGAGGTAAACATATTGCATTTGCTTGCAAATGTTACCTTTCTAGTTCTATTCCCTTTCCTTTGTCTATATCTCAGTCACGTCGAAAAGTTGTAAAAAAAAAAATTTTTTTAATGAAATAGTTAAAAAACCTCCTGTCTCTCTTGTCTAGTTTTCACTCCTTTTTGATTTTGTTTTTGATTTTTCCCAATTAAAAATGGGAATGAATGTTTGTTCTGGTATTATTACCATTTTCGCTAAGGCGAAAATGGTAAAAAGTGTGAAAACTGGCATGCATATGAAAAGCACTGCACAAAGCCAAGACAATTTATAGGGCAAGACACAATTAATTAACGGACAGATGCTAATATCTTTATAAGTGCGCATTGTGCTTTACAAAAGACTGTCTCCTAGGGGTGTCCCTACCTGACATGTGAAGAGACTATGGATATAAAATGTCCACCTTGGGTTACTAGTATTTCAATGTCGTTTTTCAGTAACTATGTCTACATGTACTTGATGTTCTCCCGACTGGCCTTTGTTCAGCAATGTCTAAATCATGTCCAGGGCTCGAAATACTTTTTTCAGCCAGGTGGCGCATGTTGCCACCTGAGTCAAAAGCCAGGTGGCGCCATCAGTATTCAAGTGGCAACACTTCCAAGTTATCATTTTCTTCAAATCTGCTACTTATATCTATTACATTTTCTTCTAGTTAACTATTTAAGTTTTATGTTATAAAATAAAGTAATGTAAAGAACACAAAAGCTCTCAAACAACAATGTTTTAATAAAGGATGCCACCTTTACATGTCTTCATCACAGGGCTGCCGCCGTGGGAATGCCACGCCTCTACATGGCGGCACACTTATGCGGGTGGTGTTATGTGCGCCATGTTCTTTGTTTGCGCAAGGATAATGTTACTCTCATCTGCCAAATAAACATACCCCCCCGGAATAAACATACCCCCCGGACAAATCTTCAAAATCTAATAAAAAATGGTATTAGCTCCCTTGATTTTAAAAAAAAAATTAGGGCATAGGTTCCCCGGATGACCCCTAACCGGGGGCCAACGGTGCTTCCACAAGTTCAACAAGTGAAAAATACATGATACAAATTGTACATGTATCTATTACCTGGAACTTGGAGCAAGTATTCCTAAGGTGTTATGGACATTAATATATACCAAACTTTTTAACCCAATCATATTTCCCAAACAAAATCACATATTGACACAGCTGAACAAATAAAAATGTGATTATGTCTATAAACTCCTAACTAAAAAAATTTGAAAGACACTCAATAAAGAAAGTAAGAAAGAAAGAAAGCATGCTCTTAATATCTGATTCTCCCAATGGTAAAAGCCCCCACAGCATCCAACCGCACATTCATATAAACAACATTTATATTCTGACACTAGAAACCAATAAATTCGGAAAATTTCAGGACCTGTACCTGGTTCTGGATACCAGAGTATCAGTACCGAATAATTTTTTGCTAAATGATCATTGCTGAATGCTAATGTATAAGTAACCACTACAAAATTTTTATTTTATTTTTTTATAATTTTTTTTATTTTATCCTATTTTTATTGTACAATTTTATTCTATTTAATCCGTTCTATACATCATCAAACTTCTCCTCTACTCCTGGGGCTACCAAAACCAAAACCTCAGAACCGAATATATTAATATATTAAACTGTCCAACCAATCACATCGCAGGATTTTCAATTCGCTCCCTCTAGCGGTTTTGGCCAAATTGCAGCTCTCGCGCGAACTCTCGCGAGCTTCCGCGTGGTTTTGCAACAATCAACACGGCGGCGGCTCGGCTCGGCGATTGCCGAAGTTTCTATGTTTTTCCTTGGTATTTTACACGATTCAAGCAAAGAAAACAAGTTTATCACAAGACCAAAAGAGTAATACAGCACTGGAAACCTAATGGTCCGTTTTGTTGGGCAGTAATTTCTCATTTCGAGTGAAAATTTACGTGCGCCACAGTGACCATGTGGTGTAAAAATCAGTAATTTTTCGGCTCGATACAAACCAAAAATGGCCCGTAAACTTGTTCTTTATGATTTCTAGATGACTTTCGGTAGCAAAAATATGGGAAAATATTGTTTCAAAATGAGAGAGACGGAGACTAAGGTAAACTTCTTTTATTTGAAGGCTGGATTTTCATTTCCTTGTATGTAACAGTGGATAAAGCAAACTTGCACCACTGTGCATGTCGGCAAAAAATTAGTTGCACAACACGGTGTTGCAGCAGTGACGTCCCTGCTGCAAATTATAGGTGGCGCGCTGCGCCACCTGAGTTTAGGAATAAGTGGCGCCAAGCAAAATCAGGTGGCGCCGCGCCAGTGCGCCACCGGGTATTTCGAGCCCTGATGTCTAATGTTCATTAGACGTTTCATAGACATTTTTGGCTCTACCAATGTAGAATTTTCATGCATTAATTAATGCATGAAAATTCTTCTGCGAATGAAAGATTCTTCCACTACTACTATACTGCACTGCTGAAAGCATCCAAGTGATTATGTTGTTAAATGATCAGCATGCTTTGGTTAAATTCTCCCGAAACATACATTTTGTACATGTCCAGTATTGGTCCAGGAGTGAAATGGCAGGAGTTGGCAAGTGCTGGAAAAAGTCCATTCTCAATGAAGTAAAATACATAAACAGGCAGTACTCACTTCTCACGATCCGCAGAGCTCACTTCTTTTGCCACTCACTTTTACATATTAGTATCACAATTTGTATAGAGCATATGTTAAGCATATGTTCTACTTCAACGAAGTTCAAGCTCTAAATGAAATCTTACTGATAATTATCAAGCTTTAAAAAAACCAAGAACTCTTATTTCAAAACTTTACTGCAATGATTAACAACAAATTGTATGAAGGCAGAGCAATAATATTGATGGATGACATAATCATAGATATATTACACTGCAAGTGACATATACTCCTCAAAAACCTGCAAGAATGTCAGGCAGTGTTAATTTGGTAATTTTCCAGAGGGTACATTTATTTTCAATCTGGTGTGTACTCATTATGTTTTGAAGATTTGTTGAGGGCATCATATTTAAGGGGGTATGTTTATTCAGGACCTGTCAATAATTGCACGTGACATGTAGACCCATGCATACACTGTGAGACCATATTTTTGGAGAATAGACCTTGCTAACGTCAGTTTTCACATTTTCCGGGGGGGTACTTTTATTCCAGGGGGGAATTTTATTCGAGAGATGAGAGCATATCAAACAACATGTGGTAAATATGCATCATGACGTCTGCAGCGAGCATCAATATTATAATATGTTGTAACTCCTTGAGGAAGAGAAGTGTCACCTTACATGGCGGTCAATCACATATATACAACCTGCCAAAAGAAAACTCAGAGACAACAAGGAGAAGTCGTAGACATCATCCCTCCATGAAATTTTGTAATCTTTTGGTGTATTTCAATAGAGATATTATGAGTCAAACTGTTATAGAGTTTGCGAATATACTACTGGGGATGGTACCCAGGCTACATTTGCCTGTACATGTAGGTCAATGACCAGACAAATGACCTGCAGACCAGACAAACAAGATTTATTTTCCTGCAGACTCTATAGGGGTAAAAATAGATAGGGCTGCCTGGGTCTGACCTGCCAGCTGGAGGTATAAACAAAAACACTCTGTCCCAACTTTTGGGTCAAACAGACCATCCTATTATGAAGTAGGGGTGAAAAAGTGAAAATCCTTTTAAATCAAGCAATAAAAATATGCGACAACCTGCTAATGCACTCCAAAACACAAAGAGACTCAACAACTACCCACATACCAAAAATCATACCAAACCATCCCCTAGATTTTCCAAACATTCAACACAAAAAGTCCAACATTAAACATTTTGTAAATATCAAACGCAAACAGCTAGGGGACCCAAATTTAAACCACTAAACCATGGTAATAACAACTACATGCTACCTTAATATCGCACAAACAGTCCATAACGCGAAAACAACAGAATAAAAAAATTAAACTGCAGTACCAAGGTCAATCACCAGGGGCTCAAAGTCAACCTACACAATCTCCAAGGCCCCATCCATCAATCTGCCAAATATCGTACAGTTCCTTCACACCGATCTTCAGATATCAGACCAAACATGAAACGGAGTAAAAACAGTACCCCCATTTTCATGGAGGGTAATCATGTCACATAAAGCCTGCTACATGTACTTACACTTTCCTGGGAGAGGATGTCTGACTTCTTCAGGACCTTCATGGCATAGATGTCTCCTGTGCAGCGTTCACGAACCAACTGTACTTCACCAAAATGTCCACGTCCTATCACTGTCTTCGTCTCAAAGTCACTCAGGGAAGGACGTAGATTCAGTACTTCCTTGGCCCTGTCCTTGACTACCAGGCAGTGAAAAATACAACTTTTATAGAATAAACGTCCCTTTAGTATTTATAATACAGTATTAATTATATGTACATGTAGTTAACACTTTATACCAGTCATAATAAGGCAAAGCCCAATATACCTTACCTGTTTTATTCAGATTATCTGCAATGATTATTTAAGAAACATTGTATCTCAAATAGGAAAGACAACGTAACATACAGTCACACTCACGGGAGTTTTCTTTTTACACAACCAGGATTTCTCACCTACATGTAAGTGTTAACCTTCCTCAGAGCTTTTGACTGAAGTTCTGAAGAACAAAATCCCAAACGTGGCCGAGTTTGTACCCTCCCCCCCCATCCTGGTTCATCTCTGAGGTCGAAGAAAACTCCTGTATCCTAATACTTAAGTTTACCATCCTGACAAAACTATTTACAGTCACACATTACAACTTACATTTTACTTTTAAAACCAATTTTACACCAAGCAAAATGTACATGTACATCTTGAGACATTTCTATTCAAAATTGTAAACATTGTGTTGTTATCAATCTATGAAAGTATATATTTCACCTTACAACATTATACCTAACATCCGTGTCCATAATATCACCAGGGTCCATAATATCACCACCTTGAGAAACAGTGCGCTTAAAGATATTTTTACTGCAACATACTTTTGGTATGCACTCCTTCACACATCAAATGTACACCTAGGGTATGTTGCAGTAAAAATATCTTTAAGCACACTGTTTCTCACTTAGGTGGCGATATTATGGACGCTGGTGATATTATGGACACAGATGTTAGTATTGTTACATTGTATCAACTTACATTTTTTAACAAAGTCAGATACATGTTTGTTATCTTTGACCAGAACATCTGAGCTGCACTCCTCCAGGAGTACCAAGAAGGAGTCCAGCAAGGCGTCTTTGTGAGGCACTGATGTTCCTGCATCAAACATCTGTGTTAGTCACGTATTATAATGTAACAAGAACATACGTACTCTCATGTCCCGAATAAACGTACCGGTACGTTTATTTTTTTCGGCCCGAACGTCCACCCGATACGTTCTTCTTAGGGACGGTACGAGGGTGATTTTCCTTTGGATGCAGATGTTTTCTACTTTATTTCCAACTAAATGTTTATGGTGCACAGCAGGTGTACATGGGGTATCGAAAATAAAGAAAATACAGCATGAGATTCTTCACACGTGAGGTTGGCTCGTTCGTGTATTTATTCCCCGAGCCCAATGCGTGCATATAGTGTGCACTCGCGTGTATCCCTCCCCTAGCCTCATGTTTGCACACGTTATGGCAGAAATCAGTCCTCCTGTATCTCTTCAGCACGTAAGTCCCTCCTCCTGGCGGCTTCTATTAGCTGCCCGGGCCCAATTTTTACGTAATACGTTGCCGGGCGGCAGAAGACAGACCTCGTGTGTTCCCTCCGCTGAGACAATCTTTGCACGCAGCACTCGCTCCACCAGGCAGCTGCTACTTGCTGTGGGTTTCAGGTGCTCGCGGGGCTAAGTGATGAATCTCATGCTGTGTATTTCTTCACCTGAGAGACCCAAAGTATAGCTGAGACTGTACAGGGAAATGAATTTTGATCTCTTGTGACATATTTTCTGCTACAGGTAACGGAGGTTACAACAAGGACGTTTTTGTTTTTTCTCCAAAAAGATCTGCATACAGCTTTATCTTCCCTTAGGAACAAGGGGGCATAAGTAGGGACATTTAAACTGGGAGACTTTTTATATACCAGGTGAAGTAACTAAAATTGAAAATAACAACGGTAACGGAGGTTACATTGATATTACTGTAAAACATTTTGTTCAGCGAAGATGGCTGCAATGACAGCAAACAAACTTGCTAAAAGTCATCAAAATGGCAATTTCATGTCTTATACGTGATTTGGCTCATATCTAGTCATAAAGAGTGGCGACAGCATTTTGTACATTTGAATGAGAACGAGAGTACAGTGTTTGGTGCTAGTCAAACCACCTTATTCGATAAATAAAGCACCCAATTAACATTACCAACTACAAAATAAGATAATTTCCTTGGTGGTAGTAAAAATGCATAGAAATATCGGTGTTCAAAATACTTTTTGAGCCAGGTAGCGTGCTACCTGGGGCAAAAACTAGGTAGCGCATCAGAATTTTAGGTTGCGCCTAACAGACTCGACTCAAATTCTATGCAGGTCTGGAGGGGGGGGGGTTAGGCTATTGCATTTTGTCTTTTCCAGACACAAATGGAGGTCATTTCCTGCAACTTCAGTTCTACATTTTCTGTACAATTGCAGACATATAAGACAGGAGAAATGTTCAAGATCTGTACCTATTTATCCTCTTCATGTTCAAAAAAAGTTGTATTACCGGTAGCACCCTTAATTTTGAAAAAATTGGGCATAGGTTCCCCGGATGACCCCTAACCGGGGGCCAACGGTGCTTCCACAAGTTCAACAAGTGAAAAATACATGATACAAACAGTACATGTATTTACTACCTGGAACTTGGAGCAAGTGTTCCAAAGGTGTTAACATTACTGACATTAATATAATTAAAAACTACACCAAACTTACTAAGCTTAACCCAATCATATTTCCTTAAACCATTTCCAAAACAAAATCACATGACACAGCTGAACAAATAAAAATGTGATCATGTCTATAAACTTCTACTCAAAAAATTTTTGAGACACTCGGGTCGCGGTACTACTAGTAAGCATGATAATCACTAATATCTCATCTGATTCGAGTGATTCTGGACCTCTAAAGTGGTAACGGGAGTATGGTATTTTCCCATATATGCAAATGTATAATTTATTAATATATGCAAGATTTATGCACAACAGGTAAGCGCACACAACAAATACACGCATGCACGTATGCAGAACAGGTAGGCCTACTACACCCAGGACATTCTCCATTACTCTGCCTTTCTCTACTATTTTGGTTCACTCTCAACATTCTCTGTCACTCTGGCCATTCCTTATCACTCTGGTCACTATCTCTCTGGTAATTCTCCATCACTCTGGCCATTCCTGATCTCTCTGTTCACTCTCTATCACTCTGGTCATTGTCTGGTCATGTTCGGGCAAGTGGAAATGACCTTGTACTTGCCTGATAAGGCCACACCAATTTAATTTCTTGGTTAACGGATTCGCCGCTTCATTTTTTTCTGATTTGCAAATAAAAATAAAAATTTAGAATCAACTGCAAACTACTCATATTTTGCCCTGAACAGTTGAAAACAGTCCTTTTCATCCTAGTTGTTACAGTTATTCCATCTTTTAATGCAATGGTATCATTAAAAGTTCAAAATTCACTGTTTAAATTTTGAACGAACCTGGTGTGTTGACTTCATGGCTCCTATCGTACCATTTTGGGCCATAATAGGATGCCTAGGCCTGTTTTTATTTTTATTTTTTTTCGCCCGCCCGCTCCATTATTTTTCTAGAAAAATCCGTTAACCAAGAAATTAAATTGGTGTGGCCTAGTGGATTTTTGAAAACTTGTCCAACCTTGCTTTGGATAATCAATGAGAAACACCTATAATACATCAGTTGTTCACATCATTTAGCAAAAGTTCCAGTTTACACAAAAGAATGGAACGTGCCTAGTGGCAAACATCACAGACCTGTCCTGGGAAGACCTTTCCCCATGAGCAGCTGGTTCAGCCTGGCCAGCCGGGAGGAGATGGCATCATGCCTGCCTTCCTTAGCTTCACTCATATCTATTTACTATCATCAATCCCTGTGGAAGTAAATAAAATAAATAACATTTAATGTTAACCTACAGGGCTTGATAAAATATCCAACTACAAACTTATGTCTTATATGTGATTTGGCTCATATCTAGTCATAAAGAGTGGTGACACGTCTTGCCACTTCCACCGAAGCAAATCACCCTTTCTTCCTCCATTTACCCCATCTTAGAAAAAAGTTCCATGCTGAAAGCTTCTTTCCAAGAACAACATCACTTTGGAATAAGCTACCTCGTGATTGCTTCCCCTATGAGTATAACCTTAAACTCTTCAAGTCTCTCAGCTACAGAGGGTCATTGCTACACATCAACCAGAAGTACTCTACAAACAGTTATGTCCTGTCTCCTACCACCACAGCCACAACACACGTCATGCTAGCCGAAACACATACTGTTTAATGAAACCCAAAACGAACGCCCTGAAGAAGACTTTCATTTATAGATCCTTAACAGTTTGGAACACTTTGCCACATGAGGTACAAGCAGCAACTAAGAGTAGGTTTAGGAAGGAGTTGTTAGAGCACATGCGTACATAGGCACATGATGATAGGCACATGTGATGTTACTTTTAAATGTTAAGTCTAATGTTGTATGTAAATAATGTTGTAATTTTGATGTGGTGTATTTGTATTATTGTATTTTAACTCCAGGAAGATTAGCTACATACTTGATTTTGTATGTCTTGTGTGTCGCTAATGGAGTTTAATAAAGCACATAAAGCACATAAGGTCAACAAGCATCTGCCCACTCTGGCAGTTCTGTAACCCAAAACATTTTAAGTGGCTCCCATGAGCCTTGTTTTGTGGTGACCGATGAAGTAAATAAGAATTTAAAAAAGTGGTGAAAAAAAGGTTTGGGATTGCACTACAATTTGACAAGCTAAATGAGTACAGATCTAGAATCAGCATCATGAATCAGAAGATTTATATTTGAATTCGAATTTCAAGCAGCCAAACAAGATAAGGAAAAATGAAAGACCTAGTACTTAAGTAAGTATTGAACCCTACATTTGTACATTGGTCATCCAAGCAGAACAGGGCTCAAAATACTGGGTGCATGTGTACCTTAGTACACCCAAATTTGGAGCTATGCGGGCGGTGCGGCCGCTCGGGCGGTGCAGCCGCTCGTCTCTGTGCCGACGGTCGAGCGGAGAGCGGACCGCCCCGCTTGCGCGGGGCCCGGACCCTCCGCTCCCGGCGGCGGCAGCGAGACCGGTCGCCTGCCCCTGGCGTCCTCGCTACCTGGCTGATCCTGCCAGTAGTCATATGCTTGTCTCAAAGATTAAGCCATGCACGTGCAAGTTTAAACTGTCTCAGTGAAACTGCGAATGGCTCATCAAATCAGTTATGGCTCCTTTGATCGTCACATCCTACATAGATAACTGTGGTAATTCTAGAGCTAATACATGCGGAAGAAGCGCCGACCTCACGGTCTGGCGTGCATTTATCAGACCAAGACCAACCCGGGGTTCGCCCCGGTCCCTTTGGTGACTCTGGATAACCCACCGGTGACAGATCATTAGAATGTCTGCCCTATCAACTTTCCGGTTATGTATATGTCACAGTAGAGATGCAAATCCAGTAGAGTTGGCAACTCTACTAGTAGAGATGGGAATCCTAGTATTTATACTACTGAGTTCCAATCTCTACTAGTAGAGTTGGGAACTCTACTAGTTAGAGATGGGAACTCCAGTCTCTACTAGTAGAGATGGGAATTCTGGTGTTTTTACTCCAATATCTACTAGGAGTGTTCCAGATTCTCTTACCAGACATTGGAATTCTAATCTTTTATAGGACAAATGGGAATTCTTTGAGTTAGACCAGGATATTCTCCAATTCCAGCAAGGAACAATTTTTTTAAAATAGACTGAACACCTAAAGTTTCAAATTTATCATATTATAAGGTAAGCCTACATTCACAATTACTATAAATTTAGTTAATTAAATTGGTTCATATTTCAGATATCAAATTGTGCTTCTATCAATACACATTTCAACCATAATAGCACAGCCGTCTGGACCAGGTCATAGACCATTGTGAACAGATAGAGGAATGGACAGATTGGAATACATATTCCCACGGTACCAGTGTTAAAGTAAAGGAAACAACAATATTCTTACAAAGCATTATTTTATTCGTTTTTCCCTCACCAGTCTACAACTAAAGCACCTAACATTTGTAACCCAAGTTACACCACACAAGTATCTACATCTTACACATAACCCTATACATTGTAAACCCTACACACATTCTCAGAAGTAGAGATACTTTCCGCAGTGTCAGTTTCTAACTAACTGCCAATTTCTATAGTAAGGAAGCAAAGGTCACCCTCACCAGTCTACAACTATAGCACCAGTAACATTTATAATCCAAGTAACGCAACAGAAGTATCTACATCTACATACATGTACATAACCCTATACAGCTTGTCACAATAAAATAAATAAGCGCAAGGAATGATTGGTATCACTTCTAGTTCACCCTGGTCTTGTTATAGCCTAATGCAGTATTCGAGCTCTGCTTAAATACATTGTCATTGACAATTTGTGAGAGTGTCATTGTTTATGATCCATTCTGGCATACTCCCACAGTGGAAGTGTGGCACTTTGTAGAGCATGGCAGTCCAGCTTTTTTGCATCTGCATCTGTTGGAAATGCAGCTTCCTTTGCAGGCACAAACAGAAGCCCCATTTGCAGCACTGGCTTGCCATCCCGAGTTCTTTCTTGCAGCCTGGATGAGGGTCACCTCTTCAAGGTGGGTGACATCGGTGCTTTCAAGGGCTGGGAAACAGACATTTCGCAAGTCCACAAGGTCCTCAGGTTTGAAGGCGTTCTTCAGCTTTCCCCCTGCTGAGTAGACCCTGTATATGGTGTCCTGTCCTTTCTTGTTGACTTCCAATACTTTGCATGGTAGCAGTCTCTGGTCAGTGTTGGTCCGGTCCACTTCATTGATGCGGATTCCCACTGTGTCACTTTGACTGTAGGATTTGATCAAGTTGTTTGCTTTTGCGTCATAGTTCATTTGCTGGCGATTGGCAGCTTTCAGGTAGTTGTTTGTTGCAATTTTCCGGATCTTGCCATGGGGGGTGTCTTGTTGATCCACTGGTGTTGTCTGCTGAAGCTCCCAGATGACAAACTGTCCTTCAGCTAGGGGTTCTTCAAATGGGTTGACAGATGTGGGTACATGGGTCGGATCAGTGATGTTGGTGAGCTAAAACACTGCCTGATCCTGTGGGTTGATGGTCTGTCCATGTACTGTTTCACGGTCCGGGATTTCTGTACCAACAGCAACAATTCTTGCCCCGTGCAAGAGATGATAATCTCTCCCATGCTTGATAGGTGCTGGTCCGGATTCCTGTGCCGAGGAGTGCTGGCTGCTGCCTGGTTCTGGCTGTGTTGGGTTAGCTGGAGTCTGGTCGGGCTCAACGTGTGGTGCCAGCTGCTCTGGTTCATCCGATCTGGTATCTTCAAAGTAGTCTGGGATGTCATCTTCGTGCCGAATGCCTTGGTTAGCCAAAATCTCCATTTCAGCGCAGTGTGTGCGTGGAGATTGTCCGAAGACAACTGCATACGGTGATTGTCCTGTAGTTGCACTCACTGAAGTGTTCATGGCATAAGTGATGTGCTGAAGTCCTTCCACCCAACCCTTGTCTGGATGCTCTTCAAGCCATTTCCCGAGCTTCAGCTGTAGGTCTCCATTGGCCCGCTCAACACATCCCTGAGACTGTGGGTGCCGCGGACGTCCATGGATGATGACAAGGCCTGGCCACTTCTCGGTGAGCTCGTTGATGACCGCAGCAACAAATTCCTTTCCGTTGTCAGACTGCAGAATGTGGGGTGAGCCAAACATGCAGAAGGTCTGCACGAGTTTTTCAGCCACTCCTGAAGCTCGTTTGGAGGTCAGGGGATGAATCCAGCTGAACTTCGTAAAGTGGTCCCGCATGTGGAGAATCCACTTGTAGTCCTCGTCTGGCCTACTGGTCATATGTCGATGAGGTCCATCTGCATCCGCGTCATGAATCCAAGTGAGATGATGGGTCTCCCTGCAGCTGGTTTCTTCAGTGGAACCCGTGTGGAACACCCTGGGCAGGTGCGGAGGTACAACTCAACAAAGCCATGACGAATCCATGAGTAGTTGTTCTTGATTTCAACCCAGGTCTTGTCGCGACGAGAATGACCGACCCTGGAGTGGCAGCTGTAAATATATAAAACACCAGATTAACCATGTATCATCTTTAAGATTTATATAGGGTCACCCAAGTATGTCGTGACACTGTCGTGACGTGAAAGTTGTTTTTATCTGAAGAGTGGTGAGGAAATATTTTAACAAATGCCCCTGCAGTTCCAACCTCCTTATTATTATAATTACAAGCTCCTTAGGGGCCCAAAACCACATCACTTCCTTCTCAGTGTAAGAGCTATCAATATCATCTACCATCCAGATCACAAGATATCGACACCGGAAGTTCCATTGTAGTATGTACCATTACTATTATTCGGCTAGAGGGCCCAAAATCTAATCATTTCAATGAATTGAAGAACCAACAAATTAAATTGGTGTGGCCTAATCATGACTTTACAAATGTACATGTACTACAAAGTAACATCACAATAAGGCAATATTTACAAGCAAATACAGTTATTTCAACCCACACATGGGACAATGTCAACATTATTACATAGAATTTCCTAATATATTTTTCGCATGCTAATTAATGGAATCTTCAAACAACACCCCATGGCAAAAATGGGCCCTTCCAAGTTACCCCCATCTCTTGTGCAAAAGATATCCCTCATACCAAATTACAGATGATTTCACTTTTATACCATGACCTGGGAACCATGTTTGGATTTAACACAGCAAAATATGTGTGATATATGACAAAAGAGTAACGCTGAGAATATTCCTAAGAACGGAAGAGCTCATTTTTCCTCATAAATACAACTACCACAAAAGTAACGGCATCCCCCCCCCCGCCCAAATATGTTGAAAAAAACCCTATATATTTCAATCTTATATCACATGGAGTGAAGATTAAACAACTCACCGTTTTATTGTGTCAAAGACTTCCTTGGGAACAACAGGACAGGATGATTTCTTGCAGTAGAGAATCTTGGAGCCGATTTCGTGAAACTTGAAGTTCTTGGTAGCCCAGAACTTGAAGTAGCTCCCATCTTGGCACTTTACCCCTTTGTCGAGTTGTAATGCCTGTAGAACCTTGTCGTATCTTTCTTGTGTGATGTAGTAGCTGGCAATCCTCTTCTGCTCAAGGCTGCTGATCTGTTCTTCAACCAGTCTGTAGAAGTCTGCTTTCTGCTGCTCATCATCTGCCATATCTTCTGCTCACTTTGACATCAACTTTGGAACTGGCTTGGTATGACTGATTAGCTCTTATATACCCAGTCACTAACTAACTGGAAAAAACGGTTTAGCACATTGAGTCTCTAACTCATAATGGTCTGATGCAAATGTCTCTGTTTTACATTTCAGTGGCATGTACAAACAGCTATTGAGTGATGTTGGGTAATGATTGAGGTGTGAAAATATTCAGTCTATTTTCCAAAACATTTTTAGGTAACTAATATGACTGTGCCCTGCTAGAATTAGGTAACTAATATGACTGTGCCCTGCTAGAATCGTATAAATACGATTCCCATCTCTACTAGTAGAGTTGCCAATTGGCATCTCTACTAGTAGAGTTGCCAACTCTACTGGATTTGCATCTCTACTGTGACATATATAAAAGACAAATAGATTTTATATACACACCGGGTGTGTATATAAAAGACAAATAGATTTTATATACACACCGGGTGTGTATATAAAAGACAAATAGATTTTATATACACACCGGGTGTGTATGTAAAAGACAAATAGATTTGAACGTGGCTATATACACTCCCGGAGTGTATATAAAATCTATTTGTCTTTTATATACACTCCGGGAGTGTATATAAAATCTATTTGTCTTTTATATACACTCCCAGTGTGTATATAAGATCTATTTGTCTTTTATATACACTCCCGGAAAGTTGATAGGGCATTCGAATGATCTGTCGCCGGTGCGAAGACCGCGCGATCGGCTGTGTTATCCGGAGTCACCAAAGGGACCGGGGCGAACCCCGGGTTGGTCTTGGTCTGATAAATGCACGCCAGACCGTGAGGTCGGCGCTTCTTCCGCATGTATTAGCTCTAGAATTACCACAGTTATCCATGTAGGATGTGACGATCAAAGGAACCATAACTGATTTAATGAGCCATTCGCAGTTTCACTGAGACAGTTTAAACTTGCACGTGCATGGCTTAAACTTTGAGACAAGCCTATGACTACTGGCAGGATCAACCAGGTAGCGAGGACGCCAGGGGCGCGCGACCGGTCTCGCCGCCGCCGCCGGGAGCGGAGGTCGGTCCGCTCGACCGAACTTCGGTGGAGATTTCCGTGTTGTTTTCTGATTTTCATCATCCAAGAATAAGATAAACTTGAAGGCCGAGGTTTAAACTTGGTGCCCCTGAATCCTCAAACACTCACAAAAACCCAAGTTTTGGGCCTACCAAGGAGGCTAGTATTTCGGAGTGTATATAAAATCTATTTGTCTTTTATATACACACCGGGAGTGTATATAGCCACGGCGAATAGATTTTATATACACACTGGGTGTGTATATAAAAGACAAATAGATTTTATATACACACCAGGTGTGTATATAGCCACGTTCATTCCGATATTATACTAGGCAGACATACCCAAACATTAAAGCACCTAGTTGAGAACGGCACCCAGAGACTACGTCTAGCGGAGAAATAGACATTTAACAAGGACAACAACATTAGAACAAGAAGCCTCCGTGAAGTTTTATATATTTCAATAAAATCCCAAGCGTCAACACCAGACCTACTGTGCAGACATTATAATTAGGCAACGGTTAATTCAATGAGGGCGCGTCACAAGCATAAAACATACAAAGGCCTAAATCCATTACTGCTCCCAGGGCGTGTAAAGATACTGTGCTTCAAGTTCGAGGTTCATTTTAATTACACACACACAATCATTGCATTCACATAAAGATTGGACTATCATGGTCGTGTCTAGTAACAAAGACAGCCCCACCGTCTTACCGTGCCTGTACCTAATTAAGCGCGCCTGGAACAGGCCAAATTCCAGCAACAGTTGCAGTAAGCACCGCGAGTGTTACTACCGCCGGCCAGATAACCAGGATATCTGCTTAGAGTACCTCTGCTACCAGACAACTGCCTAAACCTACGGCCTATTCCACAGGATTGTGAAAGTAGGGATGTTTCTAAAATATGCATTTACTTCAATATCAAAGCAGCTACGGTAAAAATAAAAAGACGTGCATCATCCCGGACATAATGCCACACCACATGCGAAATTACACAGAAATGCGACGTACGGAAGAATGCGTTTTGGCTGCGAACATCTTCCAAAAAACTTGGCATCTCTTAAGCATGGGCAAAAACATCTGGAACCACTTATCACAACCACCCCGTATCTGCATGAAGTTCCACCCCCCACCCCCACTGCTATTCCAAACAACGCGTTTTTCTGGACCATTCCAATTCGCCTCGTAATTGTAGGGGTGCGTCTGCAATATTGACCGCGAAAGCAGCAACGGCAAAAATACACATTCGTGCATCAACACGGGCATGTCCGCAGACGGCGTATAAAATTGCGTGCCGATTACACAAAGAGAACCCAGTGTTTTGACTGTGAACATGGAAAGCGACTAGACCAGTCCACGACAGGCAGGAAGAAGCCTTACTCGACTGTAGACGGTATCAAGGTATCAAGGTGAACATGAAAAATCAGCCGATCACAACACTTCGTCCGGAGGTCCTGACCTCCTTCACGGAGTAACTAGGGTAGGAGTCAAGGTATATTTTGACCTCTTCCACCAAGGACGTCCTTGCTTCCACCCACCATGTACAGTAACTCCATGCACCATGACACACACACACACCCTTGTTTTTCTGCGCCCTTCAAAGTCGATCCCCCTCCCTAGAACATCCAAAACATAAGCTTAACTATGGCGATATTAAATGTTATGGTCTGTTAATAACCCTGTAACGTTGCTGTTTCTTAACATTTTTCTTTGACAGTAAACTTACCTCCATGGACATCTGTCGATTACCTGCAGAACGGTTTGTTCGAGCGCGCGCTAATGCTCGGTAAGGATTGGGCGACTGGGATAATACCACTCGTGAGACAGAGGGGAGGCTGCGTATAGTCAACCATAGCGCCTGCAACATAATACTGTCATATTAAATACAATTGTTGCTAATTTAAACTGTTACTATTGTATTACTCGTTGCACGCCATTAAAATCCTTATTATTTTCTTTCTTTCTTATTCTATGAAAACCCAAGTAGCACAAAACTCCCTCAGATGCAAATAGAAGCATACTGTCTCATGGCCTGTCTCACACGGCAGTTCTTATGACGCGAAAAGATGCTAGCCAATGAAACGCCGTCCTGGTGATGCAATGTGCTACTTTTCCCGCGAAAACTTATTCCGCTGCATTTTCGTTTTTTAAACCAAACAAATTATATTGTTCATGAGGAAACCGGTCTTAAAGATTTTGGGATTCAGTCAATCGTTCCAATAGCAGGAAATGAATGCATTTTACAGGCAAAAGACATCATAGTCAAATATCATAGACATAAACGTTACAACATTTTCGGCAACTCCCTGAATTCAAAGTATTCAGACGTTTACTGTACTTCAGTGGATGTCTCTTTCATAAACTTTGATGGGGGTTACGTTACATACATTGTACTAACGTTAGTTTTATAATGTACAGTGTTAATAACATATGTAACGGAACTCTGATTAAATGTTGGCATACAGAATCTGTATACTAGTATTTAAATTATTGGAAAGAAAGTTTGAAGCTCCTTGCTTCAATCATGCCAGATGAGAGGTGGGTGAGGGCATTAAACTGTTGTTACTGGTATTACAGTATGTCATTGTTCTGGGTCCCTGATCTGGGCAAGCACACAGCTGGCGAGCCGAGTGCGCGAATGTGTCGCTAGGTTTCTCTGGCAGCCAATCTAAATCGTGCTAAGCACGATAACCTCAACAGCAGACTCTGTTGCGGATATTCATGTTTTGTAATTATCGTTCCTTTTTGGCTACGCACTGTATTTTTAAATGCTGCAGAGATGGCTATTCATGAAAACAGGCCCTATCAGAATACAATAGCATTTCAGAAATGGTTAACTCACAAAATAATGGCACATAACAAAACGTTCCTGTAGTTACTAGGTTCTGTTGACGAGGCTACAGCCCGCCGCCATCACAACATCCTGCAGCACTGCGTTCAGCACGTAAGGATCGTGCAACTCGTCTACATGGGCAAAAAATCTCTTCGTCCATGAGATTTTGCTATCTGGATGTAGTGTGGAATATCACTGTCAACAGAACGGGTTTTGAAGCCGGCTAGGTGAGTTTATATGGTGCCGGAGCTGCAGAACTGTGCCATCGTCGTGCAGAAAACTGTGATCTTTGTCGTGTCAACAAAAAAAGACTTTGTTTACGTTTTTGTCTGGGGAAGCTTCGAAAGCCGTGCTTCGCGCTGTCCAAATTTCCAGGGATTTGAATTACTTTGGGTTTTAATCGATGGTGTGTTTGCCATGGGAAAGTCGTTTGCACGTTCTTTACCATCCATTTTGTGTGGCATTGTCTAAAAAAAGACTTGGTGTCCGTGAAATGGTGACAGGTCTTGGCTTCCTGGCCCCTTGCAGATTTTGCTATTGTATTTTTTCATATTTATAACAAGCATAATACGCAGGGACAGCAAACAGTTTTGACTTCTCGGCTTTTACATTGTGACACGATTGATGGTAAGTACAGATATGGATGTGTTTCTAACGTAGGTATCAGTCTCTGTTACCGTTACTGCACGGGCGACGTTCACCCACGGAAGAAACTTGGTGATATTTTTAGGTCCTCAATACAAAATAAAAGGCTGGTATCCGTATAACGTTAACCGTTAACGTTATATTTATAGATAATTCGCAAGTATTTCATGTGTCACAACTACATTGCTGTTTATATTCAGTTAACGTTATGTCTCTTTTTAAAGCCTTGTTTATGAGGAAAGAATCTGAAGCTCGGCTCGGCCATTTCTCATTGTTCCGTAGTGGATTTCAATATGGCCGCTTCTCTGAGCTGTGCCGACAGGTTCGGTCGGGATGGCGCAGTTTAGCGTTATACTCTCTTGCCTGGTCCCCGTATTATCCACGTTTGCACTTGATTCCGGGTAACTTTTCCTGAAGGCATAAACAGCAGAAAGATAGATTGATAGATATTCAAATAAGAAAAGAATGTGCATAATTTATGTTAATGAAAAACTTAGTGATGAAAGGTTCATTTTCTTGTGACAGATAAAAGTAAGCGTTGTCATTTAGAATAGAAGTAAGGAAATGCTGCATAATTGTTCTGTCAACCTTACTACGGTAATAATGTTAACATTATATGGGTTCATCAATGGATAGAAGTTATACAAATTAGGACTTAGGCCACACCAATTTAATTTCTTGGTTAACAGATTTTTCTAGAAAAATAATGGAGGGGGCAGACGAAAAAAATATTAAAAATTAAAATACTAGTAGGCCTAGGCATCCTATTATGGCCCAAAATGGCCCATGAAGTCAACACACCAGGCTGGTTAAAAATTTAAACAATGAATTTTTAACTCTTAACGATACCATTGCATTGAAAGATGGAATAACTGTAACAACTAGGATGAAAAGGACTGTTTTCAACTGTTTAGAGCAAAATATGAGCATTTTGCAGTTTATTCTGAATTTTTATTTTTATTTGCAAATCAGAAAAAAACGAAGCGGGCGAATCCGTTAACCAAGAAATTAAATTGGTGTGGCCTTATCTATGTAATGAAAGTGCAGTCAATGTAACAGTGGGGTTCAAGTGCTGCTTTTAAACTGATTCATTCCAATGGGTCTGGACGTTTTGGAATTATTTAGCGCTCTGCTGTTGTAAGCTGGCTGAACCCGGGTTCAGTTCGGGTTCCATTCCCAGCATCCCGGAAGTCAGTTTGCTGTTTCTACTTGCTCATATTTGTTTCATATTTACTGGTTTATTAGAATTCTCCACAAGTACACAACTGGAAGATAGGACAAAACAGGTGCATTAGATAATTTAGAATACTCATGAAAGTTCGTATGTGTTGGTAGTTGCATGTTTAAAGTTAAAACTTTGTATCCAACACAAAGAATGCTTCTCACCTAGTGCTGCATACCGGTTCACTGGACTTGGATCCGGACTTGTAAGAATGTTTAGGTTCAAGTCAAAAAACCTAAAAGTCAAGAACCGAGTCCGGACTTATTACGATAAAAGACCATTTCACATACCCCTTTTCTTTCCAAACCACCAAAAACCTGCCCGCAAAATGAAGAAAACATTGCCATCGGGCATCGTCAAGTGTCGGCCTCCGTTTTATGTGGCCAAAATTTTCACCCAGACAACATTGCAAGGTTGCCAACATGCAATTTTGTATATGCCATGGGTTTAGGTCCGGACTTACAAGTCCGGAACTGAACCTAAACCTCTGGACTTGAATCCGGACCTGAACCTAAATGTGGGTTTAGGTATGCATCACTATTCTCACCTAGAGCTTCCGACCATGCAGTCACTCTGGTCTGACAAGCCTGGACTGACCCAGTGAGGCTTGTCACATGGCTTCCCTGAAGTACTAAGACCCTGTTCGCACACAAAAAAATTTATCCGGATTGATCATCAGATCGTCTTCAGAAATTATCTATCTGGGTTGACAATGGGTTCACACTGCTTTTCACCAATCCAAATTGCGGTATTGGGGAGCAACATGGTTAGACTTTAAGAGCCTGCCATCTTAACGCGGAGACACTGCAACTCTGCCGTAAACTTTGCCAAAGAAAAGAACTCAAAAAGTGTGTACAGAAATAATTTTTCGAATAAAACTCATGTTATAATTGTAATTATTATTGTTATTGAATGTAGAAAACACCTCTTTGAACATGTTTGGGTCAGAATTTAGCTCCCGCTGTGTTGCGGGATGTAACATTCGCTAAAAAGACTGCGATTCCACTCCCCATTCCACTTGAGCGTAACGTTAGTAACTTGGGGGAAAACACGTTACTGTGTGTCTTCTATTCATACTTGATTGGCAATGTATCCATAGCATCATATAAGGTTGTAGTATTTGTGGCACATCGCGTCTCTTCATCGAAGCAAGTCGGAAGCCAAGACACATTGCGTACACACTCACGGTTTTGTCCGATCTGAATCCGCCGCAAACTTCTTGAACTACCTCCTCGAGGTGGATTACTTTTGATTTGGATCAGAGAAAATCAATCTGGTTTGTAGCATTCACAGTGCAAAAAATGATCCGGATTAACAAATTTGGATCCGGATTGATGCTCAATCCAGATAATTTTTTTGAGTGTGAATGGGGTCTTTGAATGTTATTTCACCTTAGACTAAACGGGCTAAATGTGTTTAAGTAGTATGACATCAACACTGGGTCAAAGGTATCTGGTAAACGATGTTGCTACCCTGCGGATGAGTTCAACCAGCTCAGAAGTGTCACAACACATTTATATCACTTAAATCAAGTCACATGCAGGGACATTCTGTTTCCCTGGACTCTTTCTGTAAGAGTATTGGACACTATAAACAAGACGACTTCCTGAGAGGCTATATGTAACGTTACATCACAGGCGGAAGGCCTCGCAACGTTACAGCCAATGAAATATAAGTGGTGCGATCTTACAGCCATCCAAGTAGCTCGTGTTCGCCTACTTCATCAATATGAACAGTACATGATGAAATCCATGTACAAATTCATCTTTGCGATTTTTACAATAAAAATTTTTGATCACTGAATAACTTAGAATTGCTTGCGAAATGTTAACTAAGATGACTGCACGGCAAATTGATGCCAAAGCATAAACAAAAAGAACATTGCCAAATTCCTTCAGAAATTGTCAATATTCTGAATCAGTATCGAATAGAAAATCAAACAGGTGAACCTGTGGTGTAATAGATCGCAACTCTTTGGCTTAACAGCTCAATAAACCAAACAGAAATTTCTGAAGTCCACGGGCATCTACTCAAAACAAAGAACAAACAAGTAAAATAGAAGATTTTATACCTTTGGGCTTTTTATTGTATATTTTTATATTCTAAGTAGGGTTTTAAACAAAGAATTTATCGAGACCGGACCCCTCTGTGTGAGGGGTCATATACGTGGACCAGACCGAGAATAGCTTAAACACGCCAAAGGTCAACGGTCGCGACCATTTTTACGCTCAAAGGGGTGTGCTGGGGCCACCAAAAGGCACCATTTTCACGCCCGAAAACACATAATTATACAATAAAAACAAAAGAACATGCATAATCTACAGCCCAGTAGCAAAACATACACCGAGTCCCAAAAAAATCCGTCCACCCAAACGTGAGAAACAGCTGCGAACATGAAAATCTAAATCTCTCACAAAACCCTTCCGCGGAAGGATTTCTCCTCCCCCGGAGGTAAATATGGAGTTGCAGCGTGGCTCACGCTATCCTGAACACCCAGGGTCTCAGCAACACATGTCAGAACACAATCCAGGCTTTGACAATCATAAGCCGACATGCAGTTCCCTTTGCAGTCCCTCTGACCGCCCGTACCGCTCACATGCAAACAGAGCCTATCTAACTGTCGTGCCGACTACCACCAGAGCCGCTCACGCTCAACATTCTTTGTGGCCCTAAACAGATATTTTCGATTTTTGGGGTGTTCTTGTGTCTTTATACAAACACTGTCCGTCTGTGCAGTCTTTGCTATGTATGCATGTACATTTATTGTGTAGCTCTGGGTCATTATGTGATGTAATCATATTCTATACGATATAGGCCGAAATGTACAATACTTATGCATTGTTTTTACAATAGAGTAATGGTAATTGGTGTTTTAGAATTCTATATAATTTCCTGAAATTATACAATTATAAGAAATATATTTAACTGGAATCTACTATAATGAAATATTGAAATGGAATTCTGCCAAACAAAAGGGCCTCCACACATACAATATACAAATCAGCAAATGACACCAGTTGTATTTAGTTAATAATGATTACAACCATGTTTTAATAACAAATGAGACATGATAAAACAGCAAAATTTACACAACAAAAGCTAGATGAATATTTCATGGCAGTACATGAAGTCTCTAATCTCTTGTTTACATGACGTATGTATGTATATTATGTATGTATGTACATTATGTATGTATGTATGTTTGTTCATATGTATGTGTCACAGTAGAGATGGAAATCCAGTAGAGTTGGCAACTCTACGGCCCGATTCACACGATGAAAAATAAAAGTGTCGGGCGTTGTTCGACGCGCGCGCGCGCCAAGTCGCCTACGACACACTCCCGTTTACACACGGGGACCGCAGCTCCCGCTTCGCGCCGCAGCTGTGGCGGTCTGCGTCGCGCTGTGTCACATGGTGAACTCCTGGTTCATGGACTCGGCAATGTCTCCGAAGGCCTCCTTCTTTCTGAAAGTTTCCATTTTGCTCTGAATTCTGTCACAGTTCTACATGCCCGATCAAACAGCGCGTTTCAGCGCTGGCCCAGTTAGATCTGTTGACTTCTGTCATGCTCAGCAAACAAGCAGTAATGCTTTAATAGCAATCAATCCGTACAAAATAATCCGAAGAAACAACTAACAACAAGTAGAAATTGATACAGAAGTGGAATGAATAGATACAAACAGAGGAGCGTGGCGTGGGTTTCAGGCTAGCGCGGGAATGAAGAAATTTGATATGACCCCTCACCTGTGATGCGCAAATGGTCTGCGCGAGCTGCGCGCGACGCAGGTCTGTTTACATGATGTTTTTCCTCGCCGCAGACATCCCGCTGTGTGCCGCGATGCACTTGTGGCACCTCCTGAAGGTGCCACAGAAAAACGACACAAGGTGCCGCGCGTCGAACGACGCCCGACACATAAAAACGACGCACGTGTGAATCGGGCCTACTAGTAGAGATGCCAATTGGCAACTAGTAGAGATGGGAATCGTATTTATACGATTCTAGCAGGGCACAGTCATATTAGTTACCTAATTCTAGCAGGGCACAGTGTCATATTAGTTACCTAATTCTAGCAGGGCACAGTCATATTAGTTACCTAATTCTAGCAGGGCACAGTGTCATATTAGTTACCTAATTCTAGCAGGGCACAGTCATATTAGTTACCTAATTCTAGCAGGGCACAGTGTCATATTAGTTACCTAATTCTAGCAGGGCACAGTCATATTAGTTACCTAAAAATGTTTTGGAAAATAGACTGAATATTTTCACACCTCAATCATTACCCAACATCACTCAATAGCTGTTTATACATGCCAAAACTGAAATGTATAACAGAGACATTTGCATCAGGCCATTATGAGTTAGAGACTCAATGTGCTAAACCGGTTTTTCTGATATAAGAGCTAATCAGTCATACCAAGCAAGTTCCAAAGTTGATGTCAAAGTGAACAGAAGATATGGCAGATGATGAGCAACAGAAAGCAGAATTCTTAGATAGAAGCACAATTTGATATCTGAAATATGAAGCAATTTAATTAACTAAATTTATAGTAATTGTGAATGTAGGCTTACCTTATAATATGATAAATTTGAAACTTTAGGTGTTCAGTCTATTCAAAAAAAATTGTTCCTTGCTAGAATTGGAGAATATCCTGGTCTAACTCAAAGAATTCCCATTTGTGACCTATAAAAGATTAGAATTCCAATGTCTGGTAAGAGAATCTGGAATACTCCTAGTAGATATTGGAGTGAAAACACCAGAATTCCCATCTCTACTAGTAGAGACTGGAATTGGATTGGAACTCAGTAGTATAAATACTAGGATTCCCATCTCTACTAGTAGAGTTGGCAACTCTACTGGATTTGCATCTCTACTGTGACATATGCATGTACATATGTATGTACAAACAATGTATGTGCGTACATATGTATGTAATTGTATGTACGAATGTATGTGTGTATGTAAGTATGTATGTATGTATGTACGTATGTATGTATGTATGTAAGTGTATGTATGTATGTATAAGAACTGAATGGTCCAGGTGCGTTAATGATTCAATTCTAGAGTGGTAAATATGGATCCGAAGCATTATGGAGAATGTATGTTTATTGCTTTTCAATTTCATGTGCTTTTGATAAAGTTATCGTATACATTCAGCTGATATGATTATGTGTGTTTCCCCTCCAGATGACATCAGCAGCAGACTGGTAGTGTTTGGATATTGTCTGGATCTGACCAGTGTGCTCATGTAACATGGTGAAGAAGACGTTCCAGGCGTACTTACCGGACTGCCATCGAACGTACAGCTGTATCCACTGTCGGGCACACCTGGCAAATCACGATGAGTTGATTTCAAAGGTAACATGTCTGAATTTCTGCCAGTTGGAATCAGACAACTGCACATGTACTATAGACTGAGTTTGAAAGTTTCTATTTCACCACTGTGCAAAGCCTTGAATTCAAACAGTAATAAAAGTTCACGCATTTATTGCCCCCCTTATACAACGTTTCTAGTGACCAGTATAAAATTATGGCATTTTCTCCTAAATAATGCAGATTAGGTCTTCATTTACATAATCAATATTTGCCAATAGTCCCACCTTGAAACACAGCAGATTTACAAAATTTCCTCATTAAGTATACAAATTAGATCTAATTTAGATTATGTTAAGTGCACATACCAAAAATGATGATCTGTTAACAGGTTTTTGAGTTATCCTCCCTCAAAGGCCCCGCAGTTCCAGAACAAGCTGCTAGGGGGCCTACCTCACTTCTTTCCCAGCACAAGAGTTACAAAATGTATTAAAATTTGTGATGCTAGCATCAAAACCAGAAAGTCTGTTGCAATACCATAACAGGGAACTGATAACAGGTCAAAGCACTTGAACATGTTTCTACTGTCATTGCCGTGCATTTTTGGCAAGTCGTTTGAATATGATAAAATCATGAATTTGAAAACACCACTTAATTTGCACAAAACTCTGAACTTCAGGTCCTGCAAATCTAAATACATTTCCTGTATTTGACATGATAACACCTAAACTGGAACAATTATGTCTCTGTCAGGCCATACCAATTTAATTTCTTGGTTAACGGATTCGCCGCTTCATTTTTTTCTGATTTGCAAATAAAAATAAAAATCCAGAATCAACTGCAAAATGCTCATATTTTGCCCTGAACAGTTGAAAACAGTCCTTTTCATCCTAGTTACAGTTATTCCATCTTTCAATGCAATGGTATCATTAAAAATTCAAAATTCATTGTTTAAATTTTGAACCAGCCTGGTGTGTTGACTTCATGGCTCCTATCGTACCATTTTGAGCCATAATACGATGCCTAGGCCTGTTTTTTTTTTTCACTCGCCCGCTCCATTATTTTTCTAGAAAAATCTGTTAACCAAGAAATTAAATTTGTGTGGCCTTATGCTGAGACATAATCATCCCAGTTTTCTTCAGTCTCCTGTAGTAGTAATATCCTGTGCAAAAATTTGGCAATAGGACAGTTTGTCAAGAAATGGTATGTAGTGGACATGATTTTAATGCAGTGTTGACCAATAATACATCATTAGTGTGAACGCCATTTACAGAACAGCTGTGATTTGCACTTTGTTGTCTTTCCAGAGGAGACAATACATTTCTGACCCTTTTTTCCTTATCCAACAGTCATTTCAGGGAAGTCAGGGACGTGCATATCTCTTCAACTCAGTGTAAGTATACATGAAATATTTCCTAGTTCGCAACATAGAATAAACAAAATATGAAAGTGCTTTTTTTGGTTTCTTCTGAAACCAATTGCAATTTGTCATTGACATGGCATGGCTAATTAGGCCACACTGATTAAATTTTATGGATGACATCCATGCACACATTTGATTTTTGCCTTCTCTCAAAAAATATCACCATAGAGGAGGCACAATGCGTGCCATCCTCCGTAGTACATCATGCCCGTAACCAGGGGGGTTCCGAACCCCCCACAAGGCTCAAAGGTCCACTTTTTGGTCCACTTTTTATGTAAAGGTCCACTTTTTGGTCCACTTTTTATGTATGTTATGGAATCGTAGAAAAACTGCTCCCTTTGTCATTGAATAAAAATTTATCTCTGATTTTTTTCTTGGAAATCCTCTCAAAAAAGCACAAAATGCCACTTTAGAAGGTTCATTTTTCAACATTTTCCGGGGGAGCATGCCCCCGGACACACACCCCCCCCCCCCCCTACCCCTAGGAACCTGGCGCCTTCAGCGCTAAAGGTCCCCTCAAGCAGTGGGAAGAACCCCCCCATTCAAAATCCTGGCTACGGGCATGTACATGTTAGCTATGGACAATAGGAGCCGGCGGTGACTACGGCGGATGGCACCCAGGCTGCTGAGGCTCCAGAATTCAGTACAGTGCCACCAAAGGCCGACATGTGCCGGCATGTCGTAAAAATAGTTGTACATTGTACTTCCACAAATTCATGATATGCATTTGGCAGCATTTTTTGGGGCTGGATTTTGTTTTTATTTTATTCGCCCTCTCACATTAGTTTTGGGGTCTTCAATATAGTAAAGCAATTATATAGTATTATAGTATAACTTTACCTACTATATTATAGTATAACTAAGGAGCTTCAAATATGAACAAGGACAGGATTACTCTCCATTATATTTAGCTATGTTCGCAGCAGATTTGAACAGTCAGATTCGCATTAAGATGTGATTCACCCTGATTTGCGTGGAAAACCTGCAAACTGTGCTGCAAACATATGGATCAAAGCCGAGGCGTGCGGACAATAGACTGCAGCGGGCTGAAACAAAAGGACACAGTGGGGTATTAATGCCATCCTCACTCCTACTAGTATTTGAAGCTCCTTGGTATATAACAGTGGGGTCAAGTCGAACAGTCTGGACCTTGTGGTTAGTGTGTTGGGTTCCTGAGCTGGTGGCCCGGAGTCACATCCCTGGAGCAGGAGACTGTAATATTGGCCTCTTTGTGTTTCATTAAGCAAAAACATAGTATGTTACACTTTATTATAATAAACCTAATATTAGTATAGCTAGTATTGGCCTGGTGCAGGTTAGGACCTGGTGTGGTTGGACATCAGAAATACCTGCACAACTCCAATACAATGTAACCATAGTAATATGAAATTTATCCAAGTATCCAATTACATGTAACTGTTCAGGCTTCCAAATACCGGGTGCATATGCACCTTAGCAGGTAAATGGAGCTGTTTCTGTACCTAACTTGCACTGGTGCTTGTACTACATGTGTATGTGGATTTTTATTCCACTATGGACTTATAGTATTTTCTCATTAATCATACAAATGAGGTCTTCATTTACATAATTAATATCTGCCAATGTCGTTTTCATTCTGGGTGCATGTCCAGACATGCATCCAGATGTTTTGCCCTTGGGAAAGGCGTATTTCCCCTCAGTTGTTAGAGGGATCCTGGGCCCTACTGGGATTTGGGTTGGCGTTAGGAAGGGCATCCAGCCAAAAATCTTGCTTCAAAAAAGACTTGCACTTGATGCAAGCACGTTAAGGGGAAAAATGATGTTAAACATGGATTTAAGAAAATTACATATTTCACAAGTTTGACCAGTTCTATAATGGAATGCAGCAGAATTTCATCATTAATTATGCAAATTAAATCCTGATTTGTGTAATTGAAGTTAGGTCAAGCACCACTTAAGCTACATACCAGAAAGGGCGATAATCCGTCAAGTTCTTCTAACATTTTTCAACAAATGCCTCAGAGTCTGCATTTCTAGAACAAGCTGCCAGGGGGCCCAAACTCATGTTACCTCTTCCTGCACACAAGGGCTACCTAACATGCAAAATTCCTGACCCTAGCATGTCCAGATCATGAGAGATCAAAAGTGGAATTTCTGCTGCAGTACCATAACAAGCTACCAGGGGGCCCAAAATCTAATCATTTCTACTACACGTACTGAAATTCTAGGTCTTACCGAGATTGTACATGTAATGCTAGGAACCATAAATTTGACACCCCTTTAATTCAACACTTTTGAGAATCTGCATGTCAAATAAAATTCAGCAGAGTAATGCAAAAAAGTGTTGATGCCTTGTGCAAGATTAAAGCTTTCTTTACTATTTACTAATTCTTTTTTCTTTCTTTCCCGCCTTTTCATGATCCGAATGTGGTCCCTTTTTTATAACCCTAATAAAGTGTTTTATAACCCTAATATTGAACACAACAGATTTGTAGAATTTCCTCATTTATTATGGAAATTAGATCCTGATTTGCATAATTGTTATTTATTTATGCCACTTCAGCTACCTACATGCCAAAAATCACGAAGATCTGTCAGCCGGTTTTTTTATATATCCTCTCTTGAAGATTTTTAAACAAACTGTCCTGCAGTTCCATAACAAGTTTTTTTCTTGGGGGCTGAAAGTCACATTATTTATTCACGACCACAAGAGCTACCTATATCAAAACCGAAACAGATTTATGGAATCTCTTTATTAATTATGCAAATTGCATAATTGTATTTTAATTATGTCAAGCATCACTTAAGCTACATGTACCTACATACCAAAAATCACAACAATCCGTCAACCATTTTTTTAGTTATGCTCTCTCAAAGACTTAAAACAAACCATCCTGCAGTTCTAGAACAAGCTGCTAGGGGGCCCAAAGTCATGTGACTTCTTGCGGAGCAAAAGAGCTTAACCTACCATTCAAAGTTCTTGACCCCAGCATTTTCACATCGCGAGATATCAAAACCAGAAGTTACGCTGCAGTACCAAGAGAAGCCACTAGGGGGCCCAAAATCCCATCATTTCCAGTTTCTGTGACACCCTACCAACGCACCAAGTATGATACAAACCAATCCATCCAGCCGTTCTTGAGTTATCTTGTTGGCCAACAGACGGACAAATTGTAGGAGGTATTGTTTTTGGCGTGTCTGTGTGTGTGTGTGTCTGTTTCCGCAACTTTGTGGTCACCATAACTTCAGAATGCCTTTATGGATTGTGATGATACTAGTATTTGGTACATGTATATGTTTGTAAGTCTTAAGAAGACAAAGGTCAAGGTCAAACATGGGCCTTCTGGTGACTGACCTTGGTACTGCAGCAGAATATGCTATGTCATGACTTTTTGGTGACAGATAGATTTTCCTGTCAGGAATAAAAAAGTGGTATGGGTTTGGTCCCCCTAGCAGCTTGTTTTGGAACTGCAGGGGACTTACTGGCAAAATCTGTTAAAGCCAGTAAGTTCAGATAGGAACAACATCTTTTGATCATTTTTAGTATGTAGGTAGCTAAAAAGAGAGACGTACATAATTAAATGCAAATTATGCAAATTAGGCCACAGCAAGTAATTGCAAGTTATGGATGACATCACCGCGCGCATTAATTTTCGCCTGATTTTGAAAAAAAAATTTTTTGTTGCCTTCTGACAGTGGTCAACATGCCGAAAATTGGCAAAGATGTCTGTTGCCATACCGGAATGTGGATGGCAGATAATTAAAAGAGAGGAAACAAGAAAAGGCTCTGATTTAATGTTTTGTTTCTTACTTTGATGCAGTGATACATGATGTTTGAGTCAAAATTTTAAAATGTAGGAACCTTGTTTTTTCGGCCCGCCTTGTTTTTTTTTCGCCCGTACGCATTAGATTTGGAGTCTGTGGAGGATGTCATCCATAAAATTTACTTGCTGTGGCCTTAAGACTTGATTTGCATAATTAAGGAGGAAACTATAATTACAGTGTCTTATATAATAGTACTTTTATACACGTAATCTAGTCAATCTACGGCACTTGGAATATCAACAGATAGCAATTATGCAAAAGATTACTAATTTGCATAATTAATGTGAAAATTCTGTGATTCCTTATTGGTGAATGATAGGAATTTCATACCTTGTGACATGTGTAAGTTACTTAAAGGTTAACATCACTATGCATATACATTGTATTATCTTAATGTATTTTAATGCATAATTAATGAGGACATTAAAATGAAGTATTGACAAAGGAGAGGAATTTTACACATATATTGTAAGTTGAATATAGAAAACCTTAAATTAAACTAGATTATGGTAATTATGACCTTATTTCCATAGTCAATAGACACTGAGTAACCTGATTGGTCAACGCCACCTGGCTATATGATAATTTGTTAATATTGATTTGTGTGTTCAGTGTTGATGTTTTAATGTATTTATATCTTTTAAATGTATTCACTGTATTTTCCATGTATGTGACACACATGAAATGAAATCAATGAGGCAAATATAAAACAACATTTACAAAAACTCATATTTCATGGAGGTATGAGATCTCTGAATTCTTGTTTATTCATGAACCTGTTGAAACTAAGATGTTTGTTATTTGTTGTTTGTTTGCTCCAGTGTAAATGTGGGCTGTGGGCCAGCTGAGGAGCGGGTACTACTTACTGGACTGCACGCAGTAGCAGATATTTATTGTGAATGCTGCAAAACTACTCTGGGATGGAAATATGTAAGTCTGCACAACATACCTGTAATGACCTGTATGAGGCAGTCAGACGACTGTTATACACATAATACAAGAATTGAAGCTTATATAAACACTACAAATATACATGTAGGTCTCCAAGTGTTTGTAATAAATGCTATGCTATTGTCTACAAATATGTCTCCATCACATTTTCAAATTTGGTTTGCCAAAATTTAAATATAATAATTGTACACCCTTAACTTTGTATATACATGTAGTGGTTCTTAAATGAAAAACAACAACAAAATTTAGCAACTATAGTCAAATGAATCACACTTTCAGCTTAGGTCATCTTTATTTCTGATGCCAGGTAATTTAATTAAATGTCAGCTGGTGACGTCGGTTTGGAACCTGGCAAAAAAAAGTAAACAGTGCTTCTAATCATCCGGATTATGTACATGAGAATTTTGTTGGCTGTTTGAAATCATGATATGCCACATGTGAATTTTATGGATGACATCCTCCTTAGACGCCATATCTAATGCGATGAGGCGGAAAAAAACAAGATGCGCGGGGTATGTGCAAAAAAAAACAAGATTCCTACATTGGCAAATTTTTACATTATAAACCTCATCAAACAACAATCGATACCTACATGTATATTGTGCTAAGTTTACTGCATGCTATTACAACATTCTGTTTTTTTATTAATGAAACAACTTTGAAAAATAAAACTTTTCAATCATTGTACAAATGGGTTTGCTTCAGTGGGAACATTACATATAAAAGACATGACATACATCACTTTTAAAAGACAAAATAACAAGTTAGAGTTCCACGATCTCATACCTTGGCCATATGATGTTAACCTTACTTATGATGAAATGATGCATTTTCCTCATTGATTACTGTAAGTTTCTTTAGATTCGCGGGGCCTAAAGTTCGCGGTTGTTGGAAAATGGACAATCCGCGGTATTTCTAGATTCGCAATTTCTCCTTGGCTATTTGAAGAAAAACTTGTTTTTTAAAAATAATAAAAGTTTGTGTCCCAGCATTTATCTCCTAAAATGTGGCGCAAAAATTTGTTTCGTGCACCACGCGAGACTGCCAGCATGTTCTGTTGGTATGCAAATCTTGCATCACATGTCCGCGCTACGCGTCTCTGATTGGTTGTTGCATCAGTGCCGGCGGTAAAGCTCCATCAAATTGACGCGCATGTAAACAATTTTCTTTGTTCGGAAATAAGCGCAAAAACGCTATTTTCCGCGACTACACACTGATACTCTAGTGAAGAAATGCACAAAATCACAATTTCTTACACTCTTCAGCCATGTTAATGTTTAATGATATTTCGTGGCAGTTTATGAGAAGTCACCTCAAACTTGGACCCTCAAAACCCTTGGCACTTTTTTACCACGGACTACCACGGACCCCGGTCGCGGAAGAACTGGGGTGTGCCTTATGAATTGGTGTAGCCTTAGCATGCGGCCATTCACTCATGTAGTGTTTTTTCTTGTCCCAGGAGCACGCCTTTGAAAGTAGCCAGAAGTACAAGGAAGGGAAATTCATCATTGAGCTGGCTCACATGATCAAAGACAATGGCTGGAGTTGAGAAACCAGGAAGACCACACGGCAAGCTTTTAACTGCTGGAACGAAGCGGACTGTAGATTTTTTCAAACCTAATCTTCCAGCTTGTATATATGCTGTAGGATATTTTATGGCATTTATGTGCGTGTTCTATGTTTGGTAAGAGCATGAAGGGAATTGTTCTTGATTTAAAATCTCTCCCGGCTGATCTAGGCTCAGTACCAATACACAGTTGGTAAACCAGCATATAGCAAGGAGAATAGTACTGACTTATGGGTTATGTAATAGAGATATTTATGATTTGTTGATGACATATACTTACCATGTAATGCAACAAACTTATGTTCAATAACCTTATATACATCAATGATACTAACTGTGCTCTATTGTACAAAATGTAAATGTAGTTGAATTTGTATGAGGACCAGACAGCTTCTTTCTGCCCCTCATTGTTGTATTGAACCAGAATTGAGCAGGTTCAACCTGGGTTCCATCAGCAAGGAACGGACTGGTCAGCTGTATGTGGCAGGGAATTATTTGATAACTACAGGTGTAGTGTCAAGTAAAATGTCAGGTAACACTAGGTATTGTCTAGTATCTCTGCTGCATAATTAACCATACTGTTAGGCTGGTGAAAAGTAACAGACTCTACCACTAAACTCTAGAGCAGCCTTGCAGAGAGGGCAGTGTTGTGTAGATGTTGTACAGGGACCACAGCAACTTCTTTAGTGGGCCACTATAAGAATCTGACAGCTTACACTAGGCCACTACCTCCAAGACTTACATGGAAGTGGCTTAACCCATTGCTGAGTTATGATGTAAATTATGGACACGTTCACAGACACAAGTTATTTCAAAGCAGTTGAGATAGTCCAGAATCTAAACAAGTTTCCCATATTTACTATTTAGTTGAAATACCACAATTCTAAAAAAAAAAGCACATTTCCCCGCCTTACAATTGCTACAGTAAAGGCTGTTCTCTGTTTCATTGGAACAAGAGTTTCTCCAATAATGGCTTTTTTGCCATCTGAGAGAAATGCAGCTGTTTAGTCATCTCTTTTTTTTTCATTCTAGATTTAGATTGTATATTTGTATATTTAATTCATGTTGTTTATATAGCCTGCTGTGCATGCTTGTCAATTTCCAGTTTCCAGTGTTTCAAAATGGTGACTGTCCTGATATTTTTCTGATGTATATTGAATATTGGGCAGGTATTGCAGATTAGAGCCAGAACACCAGCAGACGTCAACATAGTGAAAGAGAATGTTGATTGAATTCCAGGCTAGGGATAATGGCACATGGTAGTGAGTACCAGTACAAATTCCCACAGTTGTGTCGTTTCACCGTTCAGTTCCTATTATTGTCTTCTGAGCTGGTAACTCAGGTTAACAAAACTCTGTACTCATCTGGTGCAAACTAGAAGAAATAAGACACACAAACACACAAACACCACCGTACAAACACACACACACAGAGTAGGGACAGACACACACACACACTGCAGCACAGACACAAACACACCAACACTTACATGTATATCTGTATCTGTATAGCCGGTATAACCGCCCTTCAGTATAACACACCTGCACATGCAGACACACACAAACATACATCCAGAAACATACCCAGTCACACGCACATTAGGAACAAACAAGAACACTTTTACACTGATGTACTTATGACTTCTTGAAAAGATGCTTTAGATATTCTACATCTTAGACAAAGCCACAAATTTCACATTGCATTAATATCCCTCAACATCATGACCCTCAACCCTGTGATATTTTCTGTTTCTAGGAAACTTTTTTAAGGTCTGTAGAACATCTGGAAACAAGTGACACGGAAAAGTTGTGTTTCTTAAATCTGATGTGATTTTGTAGAAGGTTGCATAAAATTATCGTGAGAAAAAAGGGGCAGCTCTAAACTTGACATAGATGATTGTCATACAAACACCACATTTCTTGTGGTACAGACACAGACACTTATCAAAAGTTACCATAACAAATCATCTAATCAGACAAATTATTGCCAAGATTGTTAATTGCATAATCAATGCAAAGGCTGCTAGAAAAATTTTAAATGGTAATGATTACCATTTTAACAATTTTTCTAGCAGCCTTTGCATTGATTATGCAATTAACAGTCTTGGCAATAATTTGTCTGATTAGATGATTTGTACATTCAGTTTAGCTTTGATAACAAAAAGACAGACATCAGAACATTAGAGCTAGTTAACGTTGTTGCCGGTGGCCAGATAGTAGAAAACTGCAGGCTTCAGGTGGCGTCTGGTACATGCCTGATTCTCCATCCAAAATAATGTCAGACTCTGGAATGTTTTCTTCTGAACCAGTGTTGATATGGCATTTAATATACTAGTATCTTGAATGCACAGATTTGACTGGTGTTGTTACAGTACAGTCACCTCAGAATTGGTATAGTTTGAGGGGTTATGTTTATGTGTACTTGTACACCATATCACTTTCCTTACCTGTGTTTAGAACAGCTGTCACTAAGAGGATATGATTGCTATTTTGCTGAAAGTACATGTATGCGATGTCCCATATTATTCACCAGACTTGACAATCAAAATTATTTCAAATATCATATATATATAATCATATATATACGTGTATAATTCATGCAGGTTTAACTGAATTGGCAACAATTTGTGTGGAATCTAAGTTACAGAGGCCACGTGCAGACATGCCTTCTGTAACTGCTGCCACGGTGTGTACATGTACACATGTACATGTAGTAGACTATACCAGCAGTGCTGGTACAGGGTTACCTTAAGTTTGTGACTTAGCAACACAAGACAAGTGTCTGTGGCATGCCAAACTGTCTACACAAATGGAAGTAAGTTGCTTGATAAAGATTTGAGGACTGTTCATGTTCACCAAGCACTAGACATGTATATTGTAGTACTTCTCAAAATGGATTACAGTTTTTCTATTGTTTTGTGTTGCAATGTGTACATGTATAAAGCATCAGCTTATATACCGGTAAGTAGGTTTTGAATAATGTAAATAAATTTGTCCACTAAAGGATGTGGGTAAAAATATGAAGCATGGACATTTTCTTGGGTCTCATTCTTGTCTTTTTTATGCAGTTGACAATAATGTATTTCAAAAAGCATTTACACTGTACCCAATAATCTCTTACTTTTTTACTTAATTAGGCCATGTCGATTTGATAATGGATGACATCCATGCGCGCATGAATTTTTGACCATACTGTAAATCGTACAAAGTAGTTGCAAAATGAGCAAATCTATGCCGTAAATTTAAAAAAAAATGACAGGTTTTTCCGCCACACATATGAATGCTATCAAAAACTAACCTTCTTGATGAAGGTAATAATTCACAGAGGAGTGTACTTCTCAGCTTTTTTTATTTAACATCAGTCAACATTGCCATTTACATGTGTATGTATATAAACACTACCGTTATGCGATTTTCCAGAGAATTTCAAAATTAAAAGCCACTGCCAATAATAACAAAAAAATTAATACAATTCTTATTACAAAGTTATTAAAGGCATGATGAAAAATGTGTGCCACTGACTCGTAGTTTATGCCACACAAATTTAATTTGTTGGTTCACGGATTCACATGCTTCATTTTTCTCAGATTTCAATAATCAACTGAAAAATGATCATATTTATGCCCTGAACAGTTGAAGCAGTCCTTTTCTTCCTAGTTGTTACAGTTTTTACATATATCAATGCAGTGGTTTCATGAAAAGTTCAAAATTCATTGTTCAAATTTTAAACCAGCCTGGTATGTTGACTTAATGCATGGCTCCTATGATTGCTTCATGCATGGCTCCTATGATTGTAGCATTTGGGGCTATAATAGGATGCCTAGGCCTGTTTTCTTTCACTCTCACTTCATATATTTTTTCTGAAAAAATCTGAGAACCAACAAATCAAATTGGTGTGGCCTTATGCTCACTGGGGCAACAGACAACATGGGTAACAAGGCTCTATGTCATTAGGTGTGGTTTGGCAAATCTGGCTGTGAGGAGCAAATAAACACAGTTCCCTTGGCCATGGGACCAGCAACCAACACCGTAAACTATACACTATCTAGGATATAGGGATTTTCTTTTGCACAAAAAATATTGTCTCTTACGTAGCTTATGTTTATAATAAAGACTAAAAAGGTAAGAGACAATATTGGTTGTGCAAAAGAAAAACCCTATATTTTATGCTTTACCAACCTAATGAAGGTTGTTTTTTTTTGATGATTGTAAACTACATGTATCTAGTTAGTAGAGTTCCTTTGGAGCACGTGGTTCAAGGTGGTTGTTCTGTGTGCCTCTGACTGTCTTCATGGCCTTTATTTTATTCCAGATGCCCTGACACATTTTCTGCAGCTGGATAAAAAGTAAAACATAAATTTATACTGTATTGCCACATGTCAGAGACCACCAAGAATTTTGTTGACATCGCTGTTGCTTTGTAATCAGTCCACTGAAAGAGAATTCCCAACAATCATACAGTCATGTACATTAAGCACTCAACAAAGTGCATCTGATCAGTTGTTACCTCCATGAAAAATGGAGGTATTGTTTTTGGCGTGTCTGTCTGTATGTCTGTGTGTGTGTCTGTCTGTGTGTGTGTGCATGTGTGTCTGTGTGTGTTTCCGTAACTTTGTAGTCAGCATAACTTCAGAACGCCTTTATGGATTGTGATGATATTTGGTACAATGGCAAGTCTTGGAAAGACAAAGGTCAAGGTCAAGTATGGGCCTCCTGGTGGATGACCTTGGTACTGCAGCAGAACTTCCGGTTTTTGTATCTTTTGTCCTGAACATGCTATGGTCTTGACTTTTTGGTGACAGATAGCTTGTTCTGTCAGGAATAAGTGGCGTAAGTTTGGTCCCCCTAGCAGCTTGTTCTGGAACTGCAGGTTAGTTTCTGGTAAAAACTTTCAAAGCCAATAAGTCCAGATTGGAACAACGTATTTTCATCATTTTTGGTGTGTAGGTACCTGAGAGACAGTTGTACATGATTAAATGCAAATTATGCAAATGAGGACTTAATTTGCATAATTAATGAGGAAATTCTATAATTACAGTGTTTCATATAATGGTACTGCTATACATGTAATCTATTTAATCTATGGTAATCGGAACATCAACAGATACCAATTATGCAAATGATGACCTAATTTGCGTAATTAATGTGAAAATTCTGTGAATCCTTATTGGTGAATGATGGGAATTTCATACTTCGGAGATGTGTAAGTTAATTAAAAGTTAACATCTCGATGCATGTATTATGTTAATGTAGAAGTCATTTGCATAATTAAAGAAGAAATTTACATTTACACGTGAAGCCCATATTTCATGGAGGTATGATATCTCAGAACTCTTGTTACCTCTGTGTTCTGGTCATGGTGAAGCTGCATGTAGTTCACACAAAGGACAAAGGGAATAGAACTCACATTGTAGCCTTCAGTTAGTTCGAATGCATATGTCAACCCATTGTTCAAATCATTTTTTTAAAAACCGTCAGAGACCTAATTTAAATTACTAACTCCAAATAGATGCTCTTTCTGTTCCCAATGCAGCCAAAACATTCAGAAGTTTGCATGATTCTTTGGAATCATGTTTCAGTGGACAGAATCCACAGTGTGTGTGTGATTTTTGGGAGAGGGTGGGATGGAATTCTTGACAGCATCTTAAATTGGATAAAGTTTTCATCTTTGTTACAACATTACTTAAAAGTATAAGGCCAAAATTTGTTTCAAAATTCAGGAAAGGTCATAATGAATGCGGTAACACAATCATGCTCAATCTCAAAGACAGGTACTGATGTATTACTAAGTAATAATGTTTGTTTCCGAGAACTGAGCTTATAGTTTATGATACGTACATACAGGCATACATGATACAGGATGGTCTGAATGTCATTCCTGTCTATCGCCGTCAATTTGTGGGGTTTGATTAACTAACTCACAGCAGGTTGTGAATCGCTTCTTAATAAGGCATTATTTTTATCAAATGTAAATCAAGGATTATTATGACAGTAGCCGAGTTCAAAATTCAAAGGGTAAAAAATCAACTGGAAATCCCACTAATAGTAGTAATGCAACATGTACATGTTGGTTAAAAACACAGCATAGCGGCAAAATTACAGCATAGCAGATTAAATTCACAGCATGTATGTATAGCTGCTTGCTATGCTCAAAAGGCCTGGCGAGAACACTGAGTCCATATTATGGGAGGGAGATGGACTAAAATAAGTTGTACTGTATTTGCTCCCGTATTTGCTTCTGTGTCGGCCTATCTATTAGTTAAAATCAATTTTCTGACCCCTATACAGTAACATATATTCACATACATGTACTAACAATAATTCAAATACTCACCCGCTGATTACATCCTGCTTCAGGAGTCTTGGAAAACTGGTACTGCTTGCTGCAGATACAAAAAATAAATGTGAGGTTATGTCAAACTAATCACTGCAGTTACTAACGTTACATGTCACCAGAATTCAGAGATCCCATACCTTAGCACCCTTGTACCAAATTCCAGGACACTTGGTTGTAATATCAGGGCACAGGACATTTAAAGTACATTTTTTGTCTGTAGGAAATAGCCAAAAAGACCCCTTTTACACAATCTTAAAGGGGTGTATAGGATATTGAGTGGCACCTCATACCACGAGGATGACCTGAACTGAACTGAAAGGGGTGTATGCCAAAAGAAAAAATAAAGTTCGAATCTGCTTGTATATATTTAAATTTATGGCCAAACATCCATTCCAAATTAATATCATTTGTTTCGATACAAGGACTCCAGGGCCTAAATATGTAGACGATCGAGGTGGTACAAATTCCAACACCTACAATGTACATTGCTACATACATGAGCAACAAGAAGCAGAACTCCAGTTAGAAGCTCTGAGGAGCTTGGTGTCTGATAGACATCGAAATGTAAGTAAGGTAAGAGACATTACTGGTTGTGTACATATAGAAAATCCCAATATTCCATCAACACACAAACAATATCTTTAAATCCCTGAAGGGTGAAGTAATAAATTTTGAGGTGAATTCAAGTCCAGCAAAGTTTACCTGACAATGTTCTCAGCTTGTTTGAAGAGTCCTTTCTGCATTAAGCTCAAGGCGTACCACAGACAGCAGCATGACAACAAGACTGGGTCCCCCAGCGTGCTGGCAATCTTCAGCTGTTGTAGGGAGACAACTGCAGCCTGATCTGCCTGATATTTAACACAAATGTGAGCGGTGAACCAAGGCAATTAGAGATGGCAGATTTCATATCCCTCAGACAATATTGCATTGTGTATAAAAAATGTATATGGCTATTTTTGGCAACACCCTAGTGGCAGAGGCATTTGTGTTTATATTAGTACTATGATCACTTTTGAAAGAGCCAGGCCCATATACTCACATGGTACATGTTGTAGTCACCAAGAGCAGAGTAAGCACCTCCCACAGTACACAAGTAAGAAAACAGGTTTTCCAAATGGACCTTCTGGGTAACCAAAGGGTGCAGCCTTTTACTCCTAAAGGGCAGAGGAAACAACCATCAGGAATCTATACATTCAATGTATGTATAACAATATTGTCACTACCACATCATCTACTGATTAGCTAAAACTGTCTACTCTAAATACTATTCCCGTAAAGTATTCCAAAAAAAATTAAATTTGTATTGTGTAGGATGTAGCAACAGAAGTATTAAGGTCTGCACATGGCAACAACACCGACATCAAAATGACATCATAAAACAACGTCAAACATATTTAATCTAGCCATCACATAAGACTGGTAATCTTGGATTTTTCAAAATACCTTTTTTCAACAGACAGCCTAAAAATACAATGAAAATTAAATACAAACATTCATTGCTCCTGCAGGAATTTCCAGCTACTTGCGATATGGGGCGTCCCCATACAGCACATCCTAAATGTGGGACGGTATAACTAAATACATGTACATGTACCTCAACCGACCTCAACCCTCCACTTCCTGAATATGTAGTGTACATGGGTTAGGAACCTTTTTTAATGCTATGGATACATTGTCTATGAAATTATGAATGGCAAAAACACTGTTACTCGTTTCTACCAGTTTTTTTACGGCGCGCAGTGTGCCTGGGGTCCACCATCCTGTTTATGTCGAGTCACCGGATATCGATAACTTGAGAAAAATCTTATAATTGCATGATTTAAACAATGTACCGGTATGTCCTTGGTAGTGAATGAATGAATGAATGAATGAATGAATGAATGAATGAATGAATGAATGAATGAATGAATGAATGAATGAATGAATGAATGAATGAATGAATGAATGAATGAATGAATGAATGAATGAATGAATGAATGAATGAATGAATGAATGAATGAATGAATGAATGAATGAATGAATGAATGAATGAATGAATGAACGAACTGACAAGCCAAGAGAGCTCTTTATTGGAACTAACTGAACAACATGATAGGCAGGTCCAGAGTCTGCAGCAGGAAATAGTGCTCTTGGAGGAAAGAAGGGTGAAGATGAACGAGCAACATGAGAGAAAGGTACTGAGCCTGCAGCAAGAATTGGGCTGTATGAAAGAAAGGTGCAACGCACAAGAGTCAACAATTGAAAACATGATGTCACTGATTCAAAAGAATAAGAGAGAGATTGAAGCATGCCAGACTGGAAGCAGCTGCAGTGAGAAGGGAAGAAACTCGGGCAGTAGAGATGACAGGAGAAGCCCAGACAAAAGTCTTAACAGACAAGAGAGCAGCCAAGGGGGCACCAGAAACAGTGATGAAATTAACACAAGTAATCAGGGACAAGAGAGGGTCACCAGCAGAAAAAGGAATGCGTCGAAGGATGGCGAGGTCGAGCACCCAAGTGAAAAAGTTACAATAAGTGCATACCTGAAACACGCCAGACAAAACAGTGAGACACTTGCTAGCTGTTCTAGTTCCGAGTCAAGAAACAGAGCGCAAAGTACTCAGAACAAACCAACACCTGGGAGCGGAGTCGATAACATACCCCTAGAGAGAAAAAGTCCAACCAACAGCATAATCCAGATCGACTCAAGCCCAATCAGCGTGGTGGGGCACATGACAGTCAAACGACTTGGGGCTGGAGTGAATCAGCACTCAACACCAAGGAGAGAAAGCAGTCCAACCAAGGAGCTGATCCCCAGTAGTCAGAGAAACCAAAGCATGCAACAGCTCACGAAAACCCCGAAAGTCAGACATCCAGGCAAAGATGACCAGACAACACAGACAAACAGTGAGAAGCCAGACCAGGTCATATAAGGAAGCTTTACTTCGTAGACGAGAAAGTTTGTCAAACCAAAGGAGAAAGCCTGTTCATAGAGCACCAAGGCCATTCCAGCCTCGTCCAACGTACAACAGTAAACAGATGTGCTCACCCGAAAGAGATGAAAGCAACAAGAGTGCAGATCTAGCAGACTTTGTAGGGGTGGAGAGGACAAGAGTGAAAAGGAAGAGGTTCTTCTTGGGGTATCTAAAGAAGACAGATCCCTTGAAACTACAAAGCATGGTGCACAAGTTCGCTCGGAACAAAGGTGTACAGCTGACTTTTGTAAGAATTATGGCATCAAAACAGAAGGACACAGCCTTTGCAAGAATCAATGTCCCAGTGGAACAAGCCCACTTAGTAGTGGAAGACAACTTCTGGCCCAACGGAGTTAAGTGCAGAGCCTGGGTCTCAGAGAACACCTACAGAAACAAGGACTTGCAGCTAGAACCTAAGGCACAGGGCAACCCGGAAAACTTATAAGAAGGGCAAACAACGAAGAGATCTAAGGGCTTCACAAAGGCCAACAGTGATAGCAAGATGCATGAGACATTTTGCCATGCATGAGACAATTGGCTGTTACAACACAAGAGGCCTAGTGCCTGCGCTGCCCTTCATCAGATCGGAGCTGGACAAACTGGACATACTAGCAATATCAGAGCACTGGTTGTACGAAGATGCATTGACAGCAGTGGATACAGTTCTAGATACCCACAGAGGCTGGGCTAGAGCAGACAGTGAGACTGAAGAACAGGGACACTGGGAGTGGGACATGGAGAAGAGGTCAGGGAGGCGTTGCGCTTCTACGGAAAGAATCAATGAACTATGCGGTACACAAACTAGAAGATGGGAACGACAGACTGATAGGAGTAAGAGTGAGACTGAGGAATGGACAGAAATTGATTGTCTTTGCTGTTTACTTGCCACATGCAAGCTCCCCTATTGTGGACTTTAGAGAACAGCTGGAAGTCATGGCAGAATTGTTCAGGAAGTATGAGAATGAGGGAAGCGTGATCTTCATGGGAGACTTCAACACAGAGCTCGGCCCTGAGGGAGGCCAGAGAGGCGAGGGGACAGGCTTCACGATTCGGCAGCGAACTACTGACCACTATGGAAGAACTGGGTTTGACCTCGTTGAATCTGAATGAAATTTGCGATGGGCCAGTAGGAACTTTCCGGGCTTTTACCGGCAAGCGGATCTGCGAGTCTACCATTGACCACATCCTGGTACCTCTCACACTGATACCAGATGTAATAGCATGCAGAGTTATGGACGATCAAGCCGAGAATGTGTCAGACCATAACCCAGTAGTAGCATCCCTCCTATTCAAACCTGTAGAGTGGGAAAACGAAGAACTCAACTCCAACCCCAAGCCAGACTGGAAGAGTATGTCGAGTGACCAGACAAGACAACAGAACTTCAAGAGAAGAGAGAAGGAGAAACTCGAAGAGAGAAGTAATCAGCTCGAAAGTTCACCAGGCAGTATAGACAGAGAAGTAGCCTTGATTACCTCCGTCCTGATAGACATTGCAGCGGAGGTGAAACCTGCCAGAAAGATAAGAAGACACCAAAAGCCATATATACTAGTCTCCTGAAGTCGCGCTAGCACACAAGGTTCAGGCAGAGGCCTGGCTACAGTGGAAGGAAGGAGGAAGACCAGAAGAAAGAGAGAACATACTCCTTAGAAACTATAAGAAGAGCTAGAACAACTTCAGAAACGTGTTACGGAGGGCGAAACAGCTCCAGGAAGAGAAGGATAGTGACAAGCTAGCCGAACTAGCTGGTGAAACAGCCTTTTGGAGGAGAGTACAGCAGAGAAGAGGTAAAAAGGAGAAACCACAGGCTGTAAGGAAAGGTGGTCAACTCGTCACTGACCCAAGGGAAGTGAGAGAAGCTTGGGCACAACACTTCTTCGCCCTGGGTAACGAAGATGAAAATGAGCTCTTCAACGAAGAACACAAAGCCTTGATAGCAGCTGAGGTAGAAAAGATGACCAGAGAGAGCTACAAGAACAACGACAGCATTCTAGCAGAACCCTTCACTGTAGCAGAGGTAGCTTCAGTGTGCATGAAACTGAAGAATGGCAAGAGTGCCGGCAAGGACGGTCTGACGTACGAACACATAAAATATGGTGGAGAGCCGCTGTGGGTCAGGCTGACAAACCTCTTTAACATGATGAGGGAAGAGGAACACATTCCTGACGCCTTCAAGAGAGGGGTCAAAATCCCACTACTAAAACAGGGGAAGACAGACAAGACAGACTTTGATGCACACAGAGGGGTTACTTTGCTCCCCTGCATGGCAAAAGTGTGGGAGAAAGTCCTGTTTGAGAGATGGAAGCCTTGGCTACAGTCACATGGTCTACCACACCAACTACAAAGCGGTGGTCAAAAGGGGTGCAGCAATGTGACAACAGCTATCATTGTACAGGAAGTCCTGAGTCACTACACCGAGAGGGGAAGCAGAGTGTATGGGTGCTTTTTGGACACCAGAAAAGTCATGACACGGTGTGGCTAGATGGAATGTTCTACAAAGTCTACAGAGAAGGGACGAACGGCAAGATGTGGAGGATTCTAAAAGAGATGCACACAGGAAACAGATACACAGTTCTACTGAATGGAGGACATTCTAGAGAGTTTAACACGACAAGAGGTGTTAACCAAGGGGGTGTCCTTTCCCTGATGTGCTACTTGCTGGCAACAAACGATGTGCACCAGGAGCTGAAAACCCTGAAGTGTGGAGTGTCACTAGGAGGTCTGAACTGCAGCACACCAGCCCTGGCTGACGACATTTGTCTTCTCGCCGGCACAAGGAGAGGCCTTCAGACAATGATTGACAAGATGGAGGACTACGGAAAAAGGTGGAGATTTAGGTTTGCTCCAGAAAAGAGCAAATGCATAGTGTTTGGTCAGAAGAGAGGAGAGACTATTGGAGCTGAACCTGAAGCAGGATGGAGGATGGGGCCAGACACCATAATTGCAGAAGTCTCCCAAGTTACACATGTACGAATCCAACACGAGTCCAGGTTACAGTCTGCATGTGCCATAGATGCTGCATGTAAGAAAGGAAGAGGGAAGATCTCTGCCATACTTGCTACTGGCTTGGAAGGTCGGATGCTGAACCCTGTCACAGCCAAGAAACTCTACAACACACTTGTAATCCCCAGCATGCTCCATGGATGTGAACTCTGGTACCCGACAGCCTCAGAGATGGAGAAACTATCTAGAGAGAGTGCACAAGATGGGTGCAAACGTTTACAAGGGATGCACTTCCAGACTGAGACAAATGCAAGCCTTGCATCCCTTGGGATGATGCCACTCAGAGCCATAATAGACAAGCACAAGCTTCTGATGTTTGGAAGACTAGCAAGACTACATCACACGTGTCTGGCCAAGAAGATCTTCCTGTACAGAATGTACTAATTTGTGCTCCGAAAGGATGAACAGACGACACAAGGGTTCATCAGGGACTGTTTTGAGATAGCGGAACAGCATGGGCTGAGGGATTACCTGGATCAGTACTGGTCCACTCTCGCATTTCCAAGTAAAGACCAGTGGAAAGACACAGTGAAGAGAGCGTATCCGAATCAGAAGAAAGGAGATGGAGGGAGAAGATCAATGAACACACATACTACCCGAGGCTGTACAAGACACATGAGACAAACAGAAGACCCCACATGCTGTGGTATAATGATGTGATTGGGCCGGAGGCCCCATCGCGGAGAATTGCGACGGACGTATTCATCCGCTGCGACTTCCGGTCTCACTTCCGCCCGCTAGAAGAGAGGACGTGCTCACCCCTAGGCGCGGCAAATTCAAGCCTCGTCGGTCTTCCTTCCCATTCGCGCATCTCACCGCAACATCTCGCCCCAACTTTCCGGCAGTTCACCGGGACACCCAGGAACCTTTTCAGCAGGGCCATGTACGCCGCTGGCAAGAGAAAAGTGCGCCCGCCTGTCCGTTTCCAGGACTATGCCACGGAGCACATGGCTCAGTACAGGGCTCAGAGCACGCCGACAGAGCGTCGTGACACCGTTCCCACACCGACGGTGCGAAGGGACCCGAACCCAACGGCTGCACAGTCTACTTGGATGCAGCAGGAACTGCAAAATGTCTCTCATGACTTGGAGCAGTTGCAGTTGGAATTGGGCTATCTCGAAAATCGGCAGCAGGGACCCAACGGTATTACGCCCATCAAACAGGACCCTCCCACCGCCAATAGTTCCGCCCGCGTCAGGTCTTTTGGTTCCGGGGTCACGGGTCAGCAGACACAGTTCGCAGAAGATAGCGCAAGCAGACCGTCTCTACAGGACATTTGCGCCATGAACAGGCTAGCAGGGCACGATCCACTACAGCAGTACGACATGCAAGCCGTATTGCCACGCTCAGGGGGAACGGATGCCAGGAATCCAGTTGTTGCAACAGATTTCCCAGCCGTTCCGGTCGAGCCCGCCCCCCTCCCACGCTTCGAGGGTGCCAACCTCCACTTCCGACAACGGCCAGTCCGCGCGCAACCACCACAAGACTCTCGAGGTACGGCCAAGATTGTTAGTGGCTCATAAAGGAAAGTGCACGATCTGGTTGTGAAGCAGATAGCATGGCCGCACAAATAGTAGCCAGCCAGTCACTCCAGATAACATGACATGGGACCAGTTGATGGTCGGCGAGCTAGCTATTATCCACGACGAGTCGACATCACCTAAGGAGAGTAGCAACAGAGCCGTCATTCTTCAGAACTTGCTCCTCGACGTTTCCACATTCACCTTCCCTGGCATTCGCTCCTTTCCAGACCTGACTGTTGCACGCCGAGAGGGGAAGGTTCAACTTAGAAGAAAACGACATCACGCCAGCCTTGTTGAAGCTCAAACAACAATACTTGAGGCAACCGAAAGCAGATGCGAAGGCCTACACACCGCAAAGCTACAGGCCGACAAAGACCCTGGGGGGCTCGACCACCTGCGAACTGTTCCAGGAGTCCGTGTGCCCGCACGACGGGGATCACAGAAACGCTTCGGGCGTGATTCAATTGCATCAATGCAAGTACGCAGCGTCCTGCATCGCCCAGATGTTCCCTCAAAACACCCGTCTTCAACATGCATTTACAACAGCAAGTCCAAGAGGGACGAATATAACGAGAGCCGCGACTCCACCAACAAGTAACGCGGTTTGCAGCACATTTACAGGTTCACGATTTTAAGGTCCCCATTCTCTGCATCATCCCCACTCCTTAGTTCCGCATTCCGCCTCCTTCACGCTTCACCAAACTATACTGGAGACAGAAGCATCAGCATCAGCATCTGTTCTTCTATCTGACCCCAACAAGAAGAACCCCACACACAGAGAGAACCTACAAAGGCTCATCCACATGTGTACTGTTCCTGTCAATCAAGCCTCCAGACCATGCCCTACCTGCGGGAGAGAGATCAGCGACATTATAGGTCACTTCCTTATAGACTGTCCAACATTCAGAACCATCAGAGGGGAACTAATAGACGACATCACAGACTGCCTAGGGACTACTGTAGCAGCAGAAGTGCACCAACAACCCCAGGAAACCTTTGTCGAGGTGGTTCTTGGAGCCAGAGTTGAGGGTGAGGTGGAACCGGAGCAGTGGGAGAACTTTATAATGAGAGCTGCGCGAACCATGAAACCTCTGGGACTGATGGCTCTAAAACATACAATATGGAAATGGCGAACTTGACTTACCCATGGACACTCTAACACTCAGTATAACGTACCCAGGACACTTATCTAACTAGTAATAGAGACTTGTAATCTACATGTGTATGCCCGGAGTGGTGAAACTTCTGAGGGAAGAACTGAAAAAAAACAATCTGGTCCTAGACGTACTTTGTACATTCATTTGGAGATTTAGTATGAGTTTGTGAGAGTAATATTGCTCGTAGCAACGATTTAATTCGATTTTTACCTCCGGGTAGGGATGTATATCCCGAGCGCGGAGGTTTTGTGAGGGAAGACGAAAATTGCGTTCGCAGCCGTTTCTAGCGTTTGGGTGGACGGATATGTCTGGGACTTGGTATACGTTTTGCTGTTGGGCTGTAGATGGTGCACGTTGTTTTGGTTTTTAGTATGTGTGTTTTAGTGCGTGAAAATGATGCGTTGTGACAGCGTATGGACACCCCTTTCAGTGTGAAAGTGGGCCTCAACTTTTGACCTTTGCATGTATAAGGACCATTGAGGTCTCGACCACTGATCTGACCTTTCACACAGAGGGGTGTCAGCATTCTCGATAAATTCTTTCTTTGAAACTGTTCAGATGTGAACCACATGTGCCGTCAATCAACGTCTCATTATCGTGCCTGGTGGGACCCGCTGGGGGGATACTTTAGTACGCGTTCACAGGACACGTAATCGGCACTTCCTGGTTAGCCAATGGGTCAGGGGTCAACGTACTGTTGCGCAACCTTTGTGTTGGTTGTTTTCGGCGTATATTACGACTTCTAACTTACAAATACCGCGGATTCAGACCTTTACTTCCCCAATTTATACGAAGAATCGGCGGAAAATGGAGGAAGTGACAATAAGGATGACTTGCACATGCGGGGAGGTACTTCAGCAGTTATTTTTAACGTCTGATTCCATTTAACGGCTCCGGTTGTCATTATGAGTTTCATTACGAGTTCCTTGTGGCATAAGTTCGTGGCGGCCCGTTCGTGGGTACATGTTATAGGCTGCAGATGAAAATACTGACCTGTGTTAACACAACCAGGAAGGCTAAATCTAACACATAAAATTCAACACCATCAACTACATGTATATAACAAACAACATATAAAAGTATACAATAAAAAGCTCAGATTTTACTATTCGCACGCGCGCATCAGTTTTGGGGTTCCCAGAGGATGTCATCCATATAATCAAATCAACATGGCCTTACTTACATGTTAGAAGGGTAACACGCGCACCGGACGATTGGCGGCTGGCGCCCGGAGCGGGTGTTTGTTTACATTATCGCTGGTCGCTGAGGGTCGCGTCGGGCAGCCAGATTCGCCACGGGATGCCCCCTGTCCTTTCTATTTTTGGGCTCCAGTCGGCTAGGGGGATTAGTGATTTCACAGATCATTTAGCCAATTACAAACATTTCGAAACTTTTCGAAAAAATGGTATTCGCGCGAATTCACTTATTTAAAGAACAGTCCCAACATGCACCCAACATTCTGCAACACACATTTCAATACCCGGAGGTACAAAATCTACGATTTTCCTTGTTCTGACTTGTAATGTCTTGAGGTGTAGTCCTTTTAAGACCAAGTGCAATATGTAGAAATAAGACTACAGTATTTAGTAGTGCTCACTTGGATCTGTCAGTGGGACAGTGTAACGTTGCTATTTTATCTAACCTCTTGTAAATATCAAGAATGAGATTTTATTTTGTATTATACCGATTTTACGAGGCTCTCCAAAGATGGAGGAAATAAAGAGATGTTTAATGAATGAATAAATAAATGAATGAATGAATGAATGAATGAATG